ACAGATTAGTATGTTTATGGGGTTGTTTTGTCTCGTGAATGGCGGGTGGGGGACAGATTAGTATGTTTATGGGGTTGTTTTGTCTCGTGAATGGCGGGTGGGGGACAGATTAGTATGTTTATGGGGTTGTTTTGTCTCGTGAATGGCGGGTGGGGGACAGATTAGTATGTTTATGGGGTTGTTTTGTCTCGTGAATGGCGGGTGGGGGACAGATTAGTATGTTTATGGGGTTGTTTTGTCTCGTGAATGGCGGGTGGGGGACAGATTAGTATGTTTATGGGGTTGTTTTGTCTCGTGAATGGCGGGTGGGGGACAGATTAGTATGTTTATGGGGTTGTTTTGTCTCGTGAATGGCGGGTGGGGGACAGATTAGTATGTTTATGGGGTTGTTTTGTCTCGTGAATGGCGGGTGGGGGACAGATTAGTATGTTTATGGGGTTGTTTTGTCTCGTGAATGGCGGGTGGGGGACAGATTAGTATGTTTATGGGGTTGTTTTGTCTCGTGAATGGCGGGTGGGGGACAGATTAGTATGTTTATGGGGTTGTTTTGTCTCGTGAATGGCGGGTGGGGGACAGATTAGTTTGTTTATGGGGTTGGGGTTGTTTTGTCTCGTGAATGGCGGGTGGGGGACAGATTACTATGTTTATGGGGTTGTTTTGTCTCGTGAATGGCGGGTGGGGGACAGATTAGTATGTTTATGGGGTTGTTTTGTCTCGTGAATGGCGGGTGGGGGACAGATTAGTATGTTTATGGGGTTGTTTTGTCTTGTGAATGGCGGGTGGGGGACAGATTAGTATGTTTATGGGGTTGTTTTGTCTTGTGAATGGCGGGTGGGGGACAGATTAGTATGTTTATGGGGTTGTTTTGTCTTGTGAATGGCGGGTGGGGTATGTTTATGGGGTTGTTTTGTCTTGTGAATGGCGGGTGGGGGATTAGTATGTTTATGGGGTTGTTTTGTCTTGTGAATGGCGGGTGGGGGACAGATTAGTATGTTTATGGGGTTGTTTTGTCTTGTGAATGGCGGATGGGGGACAGATTAGTATGTTTATGGGGTTGTTTTGTCTTGTGAATGGCGGATGGGGGACAGATTAGTATGTTTATGGGGTTGTTTTGTCTTGTGAATGGCGGGTGGGGACAGATTACTATGTTTATGGGGTTGTTTTGTCTTGTGAATGGCGGGTGGGGGACAGATTAGTATGTTTATGGGGTTGTTTTGTCTTGTGAATGGCGGGTGGGGGACAGATTAGTATGTTTATGGGGTTGTTTTGTCTTGTGAATGGCGGGTGGGGGGGATTAGTATGTTTATGGGGTTGTTTTGTCTCGTGAATGGCGGGTGGGGGACAGATTAGTATGTTTATGGGGTTGTTTTGTCTCGTGAATGGCGGGTGGGGGACAGATTAGTATGTTTATGGGGTTGTTTTGTCTTGTGAATGGCGGGTGGGGGACAGATTAGTATGTTTATGGGGTTGTTTTGTCTTGTGAATGGCGGGTGGGGGACAGATTAGTATGTTTATGGGGTTGTTTTGTCTTGTGAATGGCGGGTGGGGACAGATTAGTATGTTTATGGGGTTGTTTTGTCTTGTGAATGGCGGGTGGGGGACAGATTAGTATGTTTATGGGGTTGTTTTGTCTTGTGAATGGCGGGTGGGGGACAGATTAGTATGTTTATGGGGTTGTTTTGTCTCGTGAATGGCGGGTGGGGGACAGATTAGTATGTTTATGGGGTTGTTTTGTTCGATTACAGTGCCTTCCATCATAGATGACATGGAATCGACCGAGTTCTTCCGACTTCCTCGCATAGTGCCAAGGGAAATAACTCTAGCTTACCAAGCAAAATGGTGATAGAAGTGCTTGGCATAATACACTTTCATAGATATTATTGTGATTTTTACATTTAGAGTGTGTCGTTTACCGTTTCATTTTTTCACTAAGCTCTAGTTTTATACCACTGTCCTGACAACTGGTCCATTTACCTTTTCAATAATTGTCTATTCATAAATTTTAATTGAGTAAACAAAAATATTACCAAAAGTAAAAATAAAATATTTCAAATAAAAAAATCAGTTGATGTGAAAATGAAATGTTAAAAAATTTTGAAATAAAACATTAGAAAATGTAAAAAAAATATATATATATAAAATGTGAACACATAATATTTCAAAATATGATAAAAGAAAATATTAATGTAAACATAAATTATTAAAACAAGAACAAAAAACAAAGAAATTATTAATTTGTTGACATGAGTTATAATCCAAACTGAAATTTGGAACGAGATTAAAAGTTTGGTGCAGTCATATTTAAGAATTTTTTTTCAGTACCACAAACAGCAATTGAGAACTAAATGTTTGCAAGCTTTTTTTTCTATTTTCTTTATCAAGCAAAGATTACAAATGATCAAGTCTTGATGACCATTCACTATTCATCTGATAGACCAAAGTATGAAGTAATGTAGCTTCACATTGTCAGGATCTCAATGTACTGCAGACAGTCCGAGGGATGTACGCATGCAGGGTTTTAACTGTGACAAGGAAACCACAGAATTGGGGAAATCTTTGTCAATCTAAGTATGTGATAATCATATTAATGTTCCCAAATGAGACAAGATAAACAACAGTGAACAAACTTTTGTTGACAAAGATAATGCAACACTTCCTTGTGAAACAGTACCACCATATTCTTTACAAAATTTATATATCTCACCTAGAGATGTAGAAGATGCACTCAGAGTAATCAATACAAATAAAGCTAGCGGTCCAGATTTGGTTAGTCCAAAGTTACTTAAAGAAGCAAGTCATGAGTTATCAATACCATTGTCTTGTTTGTTTAATGCATCACTGTCTAAGAAAACATTTCCGTCAGCCTGGGAGATTGCTAATGTGATTCCAGTTGATAAAAAGGGAGATAAATCACTTGTTTCAAATTATCAACCTATTTCACTCATTAGTTGTATTGGGAAAGTATTTGAAAAGTGTGTTTTCAAACATATGTATAATTTCCTACATTCGAATGAATGTATTACTTCTTACCAGTCTGGTTTTACTCCGAATGATATAATAAATGCTTTTTACCAGGCTGTTGATAGTAGAAAAGAGGTTCGTGTTTATTCTGTGACATAAGTAAAGCCTTTGACAGAGTGTGGCACAAGGGTTTGTTGTTTAAGCTAAAACAAAATGGAATATCTGGTAATCTTTTAGAATGGGTTGGGAGCTACCTCCAGGATTGAAGCCAGCAGGTAATTATTGAAGGAAGTTCTTCAACTACTAAGGAGCTACATGCTGGGGTTCCACAGGGCTCAATATTAGGTCCACTTCTTTTTATAAATGACATAATAAATGATATTGATGCTCATATTCGGCTTTTTGCAGATGATACATCACTTTTCATGATCGTTGAAAATCCTGAGAGTGCAGGGACTATTTTAAATTCTGACCTAAACAAAATTAGTACCTGGGCCAAGCAGTGGTTAGTTAATTTCAACCCCAACAAAACTGAAAGTATGGTCTTTACCAAAAAGAGAACTGCTACAGCTCACCCTCCCTTATTTATGAATAATACCCAAATACAAGAAGTCCAGCAACATACACATCTAGGTGTAACTAGATTGAAATTGTTATTGGCATGCCCACATTACTAATATCCTTGCTAAGGCATGGAAAAGGCTAGATATTCTTAGATGGTTAAGGTTTAAGTTAGATAGGAAATCTCTAGAAATTATGTATTTTTGTTACATACGTCCCATCTTGGAATATGCTGATATAATCTGGGGTAACTGTACCCAACAAGATTGCCAAGAACTTGAGAAACTTCATACTGAAGCTGGCAGAATCGTGACTGGAGCAACCAAATCTGCTTCATCCATTTCCATTATGCTTGAAACAGGATGGGAAACTTTGGCACATAGGCATTACAAACATAGAATGTTAACTTAATACAAAATTTTCATGGTGCTGCACCATTATACTTACAAAATTTGCTTCCTCCTATTATAGGAAATGCCCAAAATTATAATTTAAGGACCACTTCAAATATGCGTCCGCCAGCAAGTAGGACAAATATCTATATGAACTCTTTTTGACCTACTGCTATTAGGGAATGGAATGGCATACCAAATAACATAAGAAACTCTCCAACTTTGAACACTTTCAAAAACACCTAGATAAACAAATTATTAAACCTCTATACTACTTTGTTGGTGAGCGCTGGGCTCAGGTAATGCACACTCGTCTTCGTCTTGGATGTAGCTCTCTCAGTTACCATTTCTATAATAATCATGTTGAATCAGGTTGAAACTCCTTATCATTATCTGATGCAGTGTGTACGCTATAATGGAGCTAGAGAAAATACCCTAGATACATTAAATTTTAATTTGTCACTGGAATTACTCATTCATGGTAACCCAACCTGTCTCAAGATGATAATATCATTATATTTGAAAAGGTACAAAGGTACAATGGAGTTTCTTTGTGCTCTCTTTACCTCTTCCTTTCTCCTATCTTATCAACTCATGTTATCTCCTTATGGTTTACATATTAATGATCAGTGAATGTTAAGTTAAAAAAAAAAAAAAAAAATCTCTTTCAATGTGTTTGATGTAAATTGTACTATTGTAACTGTTTTATATTGGAGATGGCTTAATATAAGATTTATAATCTTGTTGCCAGATCCATTTTCAATTTTATAATTTGTGTATGTGTATGTTGTAAATGAAAATCTGAAAATAAAATATTGTTTAAACCAACAGAACCAAAAAGGCACATTAAGGAGCATCAAACAGAGTTACTATAGTAACACCCAACTACCATGTGTACAAGCATCTGACCACACACCAATGCTGGGGTTCAAACATTTGTCTCTATCCAGACACACTACCAGTCGACTAAAGGGAAATTCCCACTAACTGAGGCTAGTAAGGTGACCTGTACTCTCAACTCTTCTATAGATGTATATGACATCAATCACGGCCGATTCACGTCTTTATGATAAAACAAATTCACACTTTATAAGAGGATTATTTTATTGTCATTTAAAATTGTTTATTACATTGTTTTAACATCAAAATAGCAATGCAATAGCTCTGATCTCTTAAACAGGTACATTTAGTTTGAGGAAACATCTACATTGATAAAGCATTCTGCTATCGATATCATACACTTTGATTCCTTTGAGATATTGTTCTCTACACAAGGTGAAACACTGTCTAGAGTCATGATACCCTGACCTTGAAAATGACCTACAAATGACCACTTAAAAACATGTGACCCAGTGTGTGGCCTGACTAACCTTGTATATCTAGTGACTTAATCCATTACTTCAGATGAAGAAAATCTTGCACACAATTTCCTACTGCAGTCTACATGACACTGATCAATCTACAATTCATTTTCTCGAGGTCTTTTCAAATTCAGCTGACCAGAGAATACCTTTCACATGTCTCAGATCTGTCCAGGTCAAGTGTATTTCAGCTGACCTGAGAATACCTTTCACATGTCTCAGATCTGTCCAGGTCAAGTGTATTTCAGCTGACCTGAGAATACGTTTCACATGTCTCAGATCTGTCCAGGTCAAGTGTATTTCAGCTGACCAGAGAATATGTTTCACATGTCCCAGATCTGTCCAGGTCAAGTGAATTTCAGCTGACCTGAGAATATGTTTCACATGTCCCAGATCTGTCCAGGTCAAGTGTATTTCAGCTGACCAGAGAATATGTTTCACATGTCTCAGATCTGTCCAGGTCAAGTGTATTTCAGCTGACCTGAGAATACCTTTCACATGTCCCAGATCTGTCCAGGTCAAGTGTATTTCAGCTGACCTGAGAATACCTTTCACATGTCTCAGATCTGTCCAGGTCAAGTGTATTTCAGCTGACCTGAGAATACCTTTCACATGTCTCAGATCTGTCCAGGTCAAGTGTATTTCAGCTGACCTGAGAATACCTTTCACATGTCCCAGATCTGTCCAGGTCAAGTGTATTTCTGTCCTTTCAGGTCTGTCCAGGTCAAGTGTATTTCAGCTGACCTGAGAATACCTTTCACATGTCTCAGATCTGTCCAGGTCAAGTGTATTTCAGCTGACCAGAGAATATCTTTCACATGTCCCAGATCTGTCCAGGTCAAGTGTATTTCAGCTGACCTGAGAATACCTTTCACATGTCTCAGATCTGTCCAGGTCAAGTGTATTTCAGCTGACCAGAGAATATCTTTCACATGTCCCAGATCTGTCCAGGTCAAGTGTATTTCAGCTGACCAGAGAATATCTTTCACATGTCCCAGATCTGTCCAGGTCAAGTGAATTTCAGCTGACCTGAGAATACCTTTCACAAGTCCCAGATCTGTCCAGGTCAAGTGTATTTCAGCTGACCTGAGAATACCTTTCACATGTCTCAGATCTGTCCAGGTCAAGTGTATTTCAGCTGACCAGAGAATATCTTTCACATGTCCCAGATCTGTCCAGGTCAAGTGTATTTCAGCTGACCTGAGAATACCTTTCACATGTCTCACTACATTCTCTAGGTAACACAACTCAAACTTCTACATTCTCTAGGTAACACAACTCAAACTTCTACATTCTCTAGGTAACACGACTCAAACTTCTACATTCTCTAGGTAACACAACTCAAACAAACTTCTACATTCTCTAGGTAACACAACTCAAACTTCTACATTCTCTAGGTAACACAACTCAAACAAACTTCTACATTCTCTAGGTAACACAACTCAAACAAACTCAAATAAACTTCTACATTCTCTAGGTAACACAACTCAAACTTCTATATTCTCTAGGTAACACAACTCAAACAAACTTCTACATTCTCTAGGTAACACAACTCAAACTTCTACATTCTCTAGGTAACACAACTCAAACAAACTTCTACATTCTCTAGGTAACACAACTCAAACAAACTTCTACATTCTCTAGGTAACACAACTCAAACAAACTTCTACATTCTCTAGGTAACACAACTCAAACTTCTACATTCTCTAGGTAACACAACTCAAACTTCTACATTCTCTAGGTAACACAACTCAAACAAACTTCTACATTCTCTAGGTAACACAACTCAAACAAACTTCTACATTCTCTAGGTAACACAACTCAAACTTCTAAAACAAACTTCTACATTCTCTAGGTAACACAACTCAAACAAACTTCTACATTCTCTAGGTAACACAACTCAAACAAACTTCTACATTCTCTAGGTAACACAACTCAAACAAACTTCTACATTCTCTAGGTAACACAACTCAAACTTCTACATTCTCTAGGTAACACAACTCAAACAAACTTCTACATTCTCTAGGTAACACAACTCAAACAAACTTCTACATTCTCTAGGTAACACAACTCAAACAAACTTCTACATTCTCTAGGTAACACAACTCAAACAAACTCTCTAGGTAACACAACTCAAACAAACTTCTACATTCTCTAGGTAACACAACTCAAACAAACTTCTACATTCTCTAGGTAACACAACTCAAACAAACTTCTACATTCTCTAGGTAACACAACTCAAACAAACTTCTACATTCTCTAGGTAACACAACTCAAACTTCTACATTCTCTAGGTAACACAACTCAAACAAACTTCTACATTCTCTAGGTAACACAACTCAAACAAACTTCTACATTCTCTAGGTAACACAACTCAAACTTCTACATTCTCTAGGTAACACAACTCAAACAAACTTCTACATTCTCTAGGTAACACAACTCAAACAAACTTCTACATTCTCTAGGTAACACAACTCAAACAAACTTCTACATTCTCTAGGTAACACAACTCAAACAAACTTCTACATTCTCTAGGTAACACAACTCAAACAAACTTCTACATTCTCTAGGTAACACAACTCAAACAAACTTCTACATTCTCTAGGTAACACAACTCAAACAAACTTCTACATTCTCTAGGTAACACAACTCAAACAAACTTCTACATTCTCTAGGTAACACAACTCAAACAAACTTCTACAATCTACATTCTCTAGGTAACACAACTCAAACAAACTTCTACATTCTCTAGGTAACACAACTCAAACAAACTTCTACATTCTCTAGGTAACACAACTCAAACAAACTTCTACATTCTCTAGGTAACACACATTCTCTAAACTTCTACAACAACAACTCAAACAAACTTCTACATTCTCTAGGTAACACAACTCAAACAAACTTCTACATTCTCTAGGTAACACAACTCAAACAAACTTCTACATTCTCTAGGTAACACAACTCAAACAAACTTCTACATTCTCTAGGTAACACAACTCAAACTTCTACATTCTCTAGGTAACACAACTCAAACAAACTTCTACATTCTCTAGGTAACACAACTCAAACAAACTTCTACATTCTCTAGGTAACACAACTCAAACAAACTTCTACATTCTCTAGGTAACACAACTCAAACAAACTTCTACATTCTCTAGGTAACACAACTCAAACAAACTTCTACATTCTCTAGGTAACACAACTCAAACAAACTTCTACATTCTCTAGGTAACACAACTCAAACAAACTTCTACATTCTCTAGGTAACACAACTCAAACAAACTTCTACATTCTCTAGGTAACACAACTCAAACAAACTTCTACATTCTACACAACTTCTCTAGGTTAACACAACTCAAAAAGAAACGCAGGGTGACATCACTTGCAATATCTTGCAAACATGTTTTCAAAAACAATGAAAAAATCGGTCAAGCAACTCTTTAGGTTACAGTGCACGTGGTCTTGTATCAAATGTTGTTTTATTGTGTGACAATGTCTTCCAGTGAAAGCATGAAACGGGAAAATCTCGTGCACAGCAGTGTTGTGACATTGAGTTACAATGCTGAGAGTTTCTGAGAGCATTTAGCAATGGCACCACTGAGGCAGATTAAAAGGGGGTCAGGCCATTGTGATGATTATGTAATCAAAAGGCAAATACAGGTTGCCAGACATTGTGGTGTCCATATTTGCAGTATTGAATGTCTTGTTGGGGAAACTGGGCAGGCTGCTGACAGACCTAGGTCTGAGCGTCCACATGCGATGTCACAATGTCAGGACAGGTTTATTCGTCTTGCGCATTTGCACAATTGGCACCTCCCTGCCACTGAGTCTGTCTTTCATACCACATTTATTCATAATGGTCCCATCTATGCAAAAACTGTAAGGATTGCAGGAAGTTAGTCTGTGGGCTCGTCACCCATTTTTTTAGGTCTGCCCCTTACAGCTCTTTGCCAGTGACATGTGACTTGGGTGTTGGCACATTCCCCCAGAATACTCCCACTGAGGCAGTGGAGGTGAGTCTTGTTTACTGATGAGGCCCTGTTCACCCTGTTTCAAGCAGAGAGTTGTGTATACTGATGTTGTGGAGAACATTTTGCAGACTGCTGCGTAGTAGAGATGGATAGGTTTAAGGATTATGGTGTGGGGAGGAATCTCATATGGACTTAAATTACCAGTGGTTGCGGTAGCGGGTAATTTAACAGTCGCTAGGTAAAGAGATGAGATCCTCCTACCCCATGTTGTCCCACTATTGCAGCAAAACAACCTCATATTCCAGCAGGATAATGCCCAGCGCCATGTATCGAGGATTTGTCACAATTTTCTCACTAACAACGCTATCCACCCACTGGGCTGGCCGCCATACAGTCCCAATCTATCCCTTATTAAGCACTTGTGGGACCAGCTGGATAGACCCTGTTATTATGGCCCAACTGAGACCAGCCCTATTGGAAGAATGGGCCAACATCCCAATGAAGAGGATAAACTCATTATGAACTCCATGCCAAGAAGAATCAGGGCTGTGTAGAGAGCAAATGGAGGGACATACCCTGACTAGCCAGCTCCCACAATCAGACCATTTCGATTTCAGATTACAGAGTTCTCTTTCCATTCCCTTTAATTACTCCTAAATCACTTACCAGATTTTATAGTATGTTCTGTATGGATTAATCTTCATTCTTACTTAAAATAATTGAACAATATACTCCATGTCTTACCTAGAATCATCTTCAAAGTTTACCCTGCGTTTCTTTATCTCTGGAGTATATTTTAGTATCTGATAGGTGGTGGTGTCTCCCTCCCTTCCCAAAAGATAATGGTGAAACAACCCTAACAAAATTTACATATACATGTATTTCTATGATATATATATTACTTGTTTCTGACCAAATGTCCAAGAAAAAGTTATCCTATATTCTTTTGGTGGATATGCAACATTCAAATCCTTACCTCATCAGGGAAAGATAACTCATGCAAAATTCAAATCCTTACCTCATCAGGGAAAGATAACTCATGCAACATTCAAATCCTTACCTCATCAGGGAAAGATAACTCATGCAACATTCAAATCCTTACCTCATCAGGGAAAGAAAAATCATGCAACATTCAAATCCTTACCTCATCAGGGAAAGATAACTCATGCAACATTCAAATCCTTACCTCATCAGGGAAAGATAACTCATGCAACATTCAAATCCTTACCTCATCAGGGAAAGATAACTCATGCAACATTCAAATCCTTACCTCATCAGGGAAAGATAACTCATGCAACATTCAATGTCCTTACCTCATCAGGGAAAGATAACTCATGCAACATTCAAATCCTTACCTCATCAGGGAAAGATAACTCATGCAACATTCAATGTCCTTACCTCATCAGGGATACTGGCTAGTTTTGCAGCATTGAACCCGTAACTCTTGGGACAGGCTCCTTGTGACAGTTTGTAGAGGAAAGTGATAGTCTCCTGTGTAGGGTCTGTCTCATCTTCATTCTCCACCATACATGCCTACACAAGTTGTGAATATAAATCTAAATTTTTTTTTAACGAACAAGATGTTTTCCTTTGCTTTTGAGAAGTTATTAAGAAGCCTCTTTTCTGATAAAAAGTGTGATTTTTTTTTTATGCTTTGTGACCACAGCATAAATTTTCTGGGAAATAGAAACATTTGGTCCAGACAGTGTAAGACTATTCGACATTTGGAAAACGATTTACTTCTCAAGAGACATACCATGTGACCTAGTCTGATGTTCGGGTCATGTGAGAATTCTTCCACCAATGAATGATAATGTGTAGAGAAAAGAGTACGACAGCAAACACGCCTGGAGAGTTCCTCAACAACGGAACATGCAATAGCTGTCCCGTCGTATGTTGCTGTACCTCTTCCTGGCAAAATATTGTACGTATAATAATGATATAACTTGTTTAAATGTGATCTAATACAAGTTTCTAATGAGATTTAAACCACCTGTTATTAAGTGAATTTGTCCAAGTTTTTTTTTTTCATACATGTCATACCCTTGAGCAATTTTTGTTGGTCAGAAATTAATTGTGATGTCAAGAAATGGACAAATAATTGAAAAATGATAAAACACCTTGACTGCACAAGTTTGATTATGTCCATCAAATTTTTACATAAAACTTTGTCAAAATGTAATTTTTTTTTTAGTTATGTGATAAAAGGAATCTCAAATCTCTATTCTTATTTAATATGAAGGTTCAAACATGGGAAGAAAACCTACCTAACTCATCCATTAGGACTAAGGAGTGTCGCGTAGCATGCTGTAAAATAGCCGATGTCTCACTCAGCTCCACGAAAAATGTACTTTCCCCTGAAAACAAACATCATTAATTTTAGAAAGATTTCAGTAGCTTTGGACACTTTGACAGCAAAAATATCCCAATTAAGACTTTACTACCAGAAAATGAACATTCCTTTCTAGTAGGAAACAGTGCTGATTTTTACACAAATTTTGTAGTTTTAGTGAAATTTTGAAGAAAAATGATGCATTTTATAAGTTATTTATGATTCTTTTCTTTTCTTGAAAATTGTAAAATATAGAAAAAAAAATTAAACAAAATAACACATCGACACACATTTAGCATTTCATTTTGTCACTAAAATTGAAGAGGTTGTAGAAAATGAGAGCACATGTTGCCTTACTAACCTCGGCCAGTGGCAATTTCTCGTTAGCCCAGCAGTAGAGTTTACGGCTAGAGACTAATGAGACCAAAACTTCGAATCAAAGCATAGCAGGGTGTTTTTTATTATTACTCTTTCCAATTACAAGTGAAAATGAATTTGGAATTTTCAAAGTTATAGAATTCAAAACTTTTGATTCCCAATAACATGCTGCAATACCAACCGGCCATAATTCTGTCTGTAGCACCTAGCCTTGTAAATACACGGTCCACTGGTGTCATGCGACATTTCTCAGCAGGTACATAGCAACCCTACAACATTGGACCCAATCATGAAATATTTCATAGTAAAAAGCTACATAGGATTTGTGTTGTCATTTACAGAACTACATTGTTTTCACTAAACATGTTACTGATTTTGTAAATAAATTGAAAAATTCTTCCTGAAAACATTTATAACAAAACCAAACCGAAAAAAGAGGCTCCTGCCTCTGCTTTCCCTAATGGGTCCTAATTTGGACAAAATTCAATATTCCCACAAAAGTAGAAGGATATTAAAGATTTTGTACTAGTTCCCCCTATTGGGCCCCTGACCCTCCTGTCCCAGGAAGGCAACATTCACCGTTTTTACAAAATTAGGTCAAAATCTGCTAAGTTGTTCATGACTAGTAGTGATCTGAAGGAAAAGTTGAGGGATGAACAGACGCATAAGCTCAGTGGTCCTCTGGACCAGGTGAGCTAAAACACTGGACAAATGTTATACCATCACCTGAGTACACTAATCCTTTTGAAATGATGAGCTCAAAACAAATGACCAACCCTACACTTCAGACCATGTGAGTAAGTAAGTAAAGGCTAATCCACCTGCTATATAGACTCCTTACACTATTAATGAAAAACACAACACCTGTATACATAGCAATTAGCAACTTGATCCCTAAACAGACACAGTCGGAATTTATTTTCACAAAACTGGAAAAACTGAGCAAAACATTCATTGTATACGCTTTTTACAATAAATGTAACACTGCATTTCTCCCACACATACCCTCTCATTGGAATACATGTAAAAACCAAGTGCCCCACCCAACCTGTAAAACCTTAATAGGCAAAGGCAAGAGGTGTACCAGCTTCGCAATGATTAAGGTTTGTATTGCTGGGATTTCTAAAAAAAAATCCAAAAATGTCTATGATTCACTCAAAATCTAAATGATATCTATCTAATTACCCATAATGCTCTATATAAAAATTGGATTGCTTTGTAAAACTTGGGCTCTGTTTGGTGTCTGACGCTAGAATGGAAACCTTCTACCCTCCACGTGTACTGCCCAACAAACGTATAAATTTCATTGGTCAAAACCTTTACACATGAAACATCTAACCCGTTTATGTGCATTCCTTGTATACAGGACAAATATTTTCCTCTACTCTCCGAAACGCGGGAAATTTAAAATTCTCGTCTCCACACTTACCATTTGAGCTATAACAGTAATGAGGCCCACTTGTCGCATCAATGTGGATTTACCGCCCATGTTTGGTCCTGTTACCAGGATGATCTTACTGTCTGCATTGTCATCTTCATCTGTCTCCATCTCATTCTCCTTTAACAGCAAAAGTTTCAAGACTTCACATTCAGAGTAAACACTTACTACACTGCATGACTTGTCATAATCAATCTGACTAAACCAATGCTTACTGCTTGATCAAAGCTTCAGCTGAATAGCAGTGAGGTAAAAAGATCTTTGATCCAAGATTTTCTGGCTCGACTAACAAACAGAAAATTTCAACATGCAACATACGTTCAATGAATGTTCTTCCTGGATATTTCAGCCAAATAGGCTGATGTGTTTCTATTTATATTTCACAACAAAAAGCAAAAGATATTTTCATCTGTATTTAACAATAATATTCCAACAAAAAAAAAAAAAACTATTATTGTTAAAGAAAATCAACAATACTTAATAAAGTGCTTTGATGTTACAGAGAAATAGGCACGTCAGGACCATTCACAAAAGTGCAATGGTTTATCCAGCAACCAGCCCATGTCTGGTAATAAGCCATTTGGAATTACAAACGTTATTTCATTGTCCTGTAAAAAGCCAACCAATATCTATAGCTTTTCAGTTTTTGCTTCCCTTGACCCACTCTCGATACTCCAGGGGTTACGATCACTTTCTCTCTCTGTACCCCTGGAACCACCCTCGATACTCCAGCATTTACAATCACTTTCGCTCTCTGTACCCCTGGAACCATCCTTGATACTCCAGGGGTTACAATCACTTTCGCTCTCTGTACCCCTGGAACCATCCTTGATACTCCAGGGGTTACAATCACTTTCTCTCTCTGTACCCCTGGAACCATCCTCGATACTCCAGCATTTACAATCACTTTCGCTCTCTGTACCCCTGGAACCATCCTTGATACTCCAGGGGTTACAATCACTTTCTCTCTCTGTACCCCTGGAACCACCCTCGATACTCCAGCATTTACAATCACTTTCGCTCTCTGTACCCCTGGAACCATCCTTGATACTCCAGGGGTTACAATCACTTTCTCTCTCTGTACCCCTGGAACCATCCTCGATACTCCAGCATTTACAATCACTTTCGCTCTCTGTACCCCTGGAACCATCCTTGATACTCCAGGGGTTACAATCACTTTCTCTCTCTGTACCCCTGGAACCACCCTCGATACTCTAAGGGTTACGATCACTTTCTGTCTCTGTACCCCTGGAACCATCCTTGATACTCCAGGGGTTACAATCACTTTCTCTCTCTGTATCCCTGGAACCACCCTCGATACTCTAAGGGTTACGATCACTTTCTGTCTCTGTACCCCTTGAACCATCCTTGATACTCCAGGGGTAACGATCACTTTCACTATCTGTATCCCTGGAACCATCCCCGATACTCCAGTTGTTATGATCACTTTCACTATCTGTATCCCTGGAACCATCCCCGATACTCTAGGGGTTTTGATAACAATATAATGGTTTTGTGTTGGGTGTTGCTCCTTTATAATCTTCTAAACGAGTGTACAAGTTAATGATTAGTTTTTTTCCTCCTGGAACCAATCAAATAACTTTGGTGCCTTTAATTTTGCCGTTACATATTCATTGTACTATAATAAGCCCACACCTGAATTCGGTTTGTATGTCTAGGCTAATTAAATAACAAATAGATACATCACACTTACATCCTTCATGCCAATAAGCGTGTCATTTGGAATAAATTCTCCGCCAGTAAATGTCTTTGCAATGCATGGATGACGACCATCTCTGATCTCCAGGAATGGCTAAAAATATTCATATTAACATCTCTTAATGAAACAAAGACGTCACTTAACGAAACAAAGACAACATCACTTAACGAAACAAAGACAACATCACTTAACGAAACAAAGAAAATTCAATGACATGATAACCACTATTACTATAAAATATACAGAGTTCCAGACAAAAGTCAGAATCTAAATTATCCACTACCATTGTTTTTATTGGGACTTTTTGCGTATAAATGAAATATAAAGTGTAATACTAGAAAGCAGTCTTTGCAAGGTGCATAATGAAGAAAGTTTGATCTCTGCTTTCATTTTCCAGAGAAACAAAAAAAACCAGGTGTAAGAGGAATTGAGGACATATACACATTACGGAAGAAGCACCTTTAATTCCCCTGGAAATGACCTTATAAGTGTGACTAGAACAAATCAACACATTTTTAGTTTTTTATTACTTTGAACAAACTGTTTCACTATTAATAAGATATATGGTACCTCAGTGTTACCATCAGGGGAGACAACTTCTGGGCGACACATGACTCCATCACCACAGCGACTGTAGGAAGCCAGTGACATCAGAACGTCCAATACAGAAATACACTGTAAAGCTACCTCCCAGGCCTTGTACCTAAAACAGATCATACAACTTGGACCTCAGAGCGATGGTCTTATTTACAGCAAAAACAAATAAAATTTGAAATCAAAGTATCCCAGAGAAATCTTGGGGACCACCATTGTTTGGTCTTTATTGTTTAAATCTTTTCCCTTCTTTTTTATTCTGTCCTCTTTTTCTGCTCCTAATTATATGAACTGTGTAATTATATGAACACTGTAAGAAATAGTGGCAATAATCTCTAACTGCCAAAAGGGCATAACTAGGGTCCAAGCAGAACTACGTAGAAAGTTTATAAAAATAAATTCAGCCTTTCTCATGAAACATCTAAATCAATGAAGACACCACTAGGATCAAGGTGAACCTACATACAAAAGCTGACAAACATACATCAAGTGCTTCATGTGAAATTGTGGTAACATACTTGTATTCTCATGAAGGCTACCTGTCAGCCATTTTGTTTACCTGATCATAACCAAAAACAAAAGTTCACAAATAGAGACAACGGGAAATCTTTGTAAAATTTTTTTTTAAAAATCCATTAAGTACCATTTAATAAATATTGACAATCACGGTTGTGTACAGATGGATGGATGATTAAGGGCAATTCAAATAGCCCACCTTCTGTTCAAATAGCCCACCTTCTGTTCAAATAGCCCACCATCTGTTCAAATAGCCCACCTTCTGTTCAAATAGCCCACCTTCTGTTTAAATTGCCAACCTTCTGTTCAAATAGCCCACCTTCTGTTCAAATAGCCCACCTTCTGTTTAAATTGCCAACCTTCTGTTCAAATAGCCCACCTTCTGTTCAAATAGCCCACCTTCTGTTTAAATAGCCCACCATCTGTTTAAATTGCCAACCTTCTGTTTAAATTGCCCATCATCTGTCCTTCTGTAAAAAATACCTGTTAAAAAAATGGTTTTCGTTTAGAAAAGAATTCAACTTAAAATTCATTTTTGTTTGGACAATATTTCTGCTTTTTCATGGTACATCAACATGATTGAGAAAGTTTAATCCTTGATGAGGTACAAGTGTACATCCTTTCAGTGAATAACCCTTTTGCTTTCACTATAACAATTTTCTTGTTAAAGTGAGCTACCTCTCATCAAAACTATGGAAAATCCTTCGCAGTGTATCTTTTAATGCTACATCTTTTCTTTCTTCGGCATCCGTGAGTTCTGACAAATATTCATCAATTTCTGGTGTCCTGTACCGCTTCCATCCTTTCTTTGATGAGAACAGTTCATAATCATCTGGTACACGCTTCAATGCACTCTCTGGAACCTCCATCTGATAACGATTCTTCCCCGTACCCCAGAACGTCATTGTCTGTAAGAAGTAAATGATAGTAGACGTATCACAGTAACTTTGATTTTAATATTAATCAAGCAATATCTATCTCTTACTATTATGTTTTACAACAGTTATAACAAACAGATATTTTAAATCCTTATTACTAGACGTTAAATGCGTAAATCAATGCCATTTTCTGTTTTCATGTTCGAGGTTATCCTTGACTAGCGATCGTCACAGAACTATCATCGTCACAGTGCTAGTATCTTCTATTGGACTAAGTAGTTTACCCCCCACCCCGTCTTCTAAAATCATTGATCTAATCTTAACAAAAGCATCTTTTGACATCAAATAGTTTAAGTTACAATATCTCAATATCAGATTTCAGGTAATTAGAACAGAGGTTTGTTGATAATAAACTCTTTCTAAATACATTTAATTCCTCTGACCAACCTTAAAATTGTTTAATCTGCTTTAAATATCATCTATATCAGCATGTTAATTAAATCACAACTAGAAAATGTATGTAAGACATAAATGACCCAACCAACAAACCTATGATCTCCAAAATATACTCATACTTGATCTTTGCATAAAGTTTGACCAAATTCAAAATGGATGGTTTTCTATATATAGAAAGAGTGACCTTTGCCTTGACATTTAGCCCCTGTTTTCTATTTATAGAAAGAGTGACCTTGGCCTTGACATTTTGCCACTGTTTTCTATTTATAGACAGAGTGACCTTGGCCTTGACATTTTGCACCAGTTTTCTTTTTATAGAAAGAGTGACCTTGGCCTTGACATGTTGCCCCTGTAACACAACAAAGTCCAAAGTATACCCTAACTGATATTTGTAACACTGACCTTACAACCATTTGTCAGGTAATGAAGTTGCTAGGTGTTTACATTGAATAGTGACCGCTCAGTGGCCTGGATGTCAGATATGGCCTGATCATAGTCCTCATCTACACCTGTAACATCAATGAAAATGATCAGATACATCATTTTTCTGTGAGATGCTAAATAGTTTTAATTATAAATTACCTGACATCATTGTGCTTTTGACTGGTGTCACAGTTACCTACATTTGTTGGGTTTTTGATAGTTGTTAGAGTTACCTACCTACCTTTGTTGGGTTTTTGAGATTTAGTGACCTACCTTTGTTGGCCTTTTGGATAGTCAGATATGGCCTGATCATTGTTAGTCCTCATCTACCTTGTAACATCAATGAAAATGATCAGATACATCCTTTTTGTGTTTTTGAGATGCTAATTAGTTTTAATTATAAATTACCTACCTTTGTTGTGTTTTTGACTGGTGTTTTTGGTGTCACAGTTACCTACCTTTGTTGTGTTTTTGATAGATGTTAGAGTTACCTACCTTTGTTGTGTTTTTGATAGATGTTAGAGTTACCTACCTTTGTTGTGTTTTTGATAGATGTTAGAGTTACCTACCTTTGTTGTGTACAATGACGCCTTCCTTCTTTGCCTTATTGTGGTCAAATGAATGCTGTAAACCAAAGTCATGGTATCAGGTGTTATAATTAACATAAACTAGGGCTCACAGGGAAATGTTTTGCTCGCTGAATACGGGCAGATGAACAAATCAGCAAATATATACTTTCCCTTTAGAGAGCATAAAATGCAAAATAGAATATAAGATAAGATGTAATGATGAACATAAGAACAGGTTAATCATGCAGGGTATTTCTTCATTACTTTATAATGGGGCACATTCCTTTGGGAAAAACATCTATAAAATATCAAATTGGAAAAAACAACAAAATGAGACATTCCAATTTGATTCTAATTCCTAGTTTGCTCCTGTGTATCTATATTATAAACAATGATCTAAACGCTTTTGTTGACAATGAACAATTTGGACATTGGACAGCATCATTTGATTTGTTTGATAATTTAGTAAACATTCTTCAGGAAATTCTAATATTTGGATTAGAAAAAAATGTTCACAATGGGCAATAAGGCCCATATATGGTTCCCATGTCATACCCAAAAACAAGAGGCCCCCTGGGCCTTAACCTAAAATCAATTGCTAACTACTCTACAGCTTACAAAGAAGACATTGTTGATTCATCAACACATTTTCTGCAAGCTAGAAATAATGTTCTTTATACATACACTACACAATTGCCATTACTGTGGATGTATTGCTTGTTGAAGAAGCAAGCTACAGGCCCTATATCAAGACCCTTGGCCTTTTGGTTATTGAGAAGACGTTTCTAAAGCATTTCAACACATTTGACCCCTGAGACCTTCAAAGTGCATCAATATCATTCATATGAACAAAGTTGGTAATCCTACATCCAAGCATGCTACAGGCAAATCTATCCCAGTATGAAAGAGGAGAAGGATTTCTAAAGGAAGGGGACCTAAAAAGGCACATGGACGTCATTGTTTTAGGAATGAAACATACACCTAATAGATTTAATTATATGCCAAATTTTTAATTAGTTAGGAGAACTGAAACTGTTTTTTGTAATTCAGGTACTATATCTTCATGGATTCAACTATTGTTGGTCAATTAAATGTAAATTAAAAACTCTTCATGAAGCTAGTTTCTTTCTTTCACCTCGAAGAACTCTATGTCACCATGAAGCTCCGGAAAATAACCATCACCTTCCTCACTCGATACTGTCATGGTCTTTGTCAATAATTTGGACCTGTCACAAGAAAAAAAATACAACCAAGCTAAAATATAATAAATGTGCTGCAAAAAATAACTCTCTATCACAATCAAGACAAGAATTTGCCTATCATAAGTACTGGACACAAGGAAATTTTTGCCCTTTTCGTCTATGATCACGGAGGGCTATGACTTGCTAAACTTACTACCGCTTTTATATAATCAACAGAGGGGAAAATGAACATCAGGCAAATTTGTGTTAAATGGTACAGGGACATTAATTGTGTTAAATGGTACAGGGACATTATTTGTGTTAAATGGTACAGGGACATTATTTGTGTTAAATGGTACAGGGACATTATTTGTGTTAAATGGTACAGGGACATTATTTGTGTTAAATTGTACAAGGACATTAATTGAGTTAAATGGTACAGGGACATTATTTGTGTTAAATGGTACAGGGACATTACTTGTGTTAAATGGTACAGGGACATTATTTGTGTTAAATTGTACAAGGACATTAATTGTGTTAAATGGTACAGGGACATTAATTGTGTTAAATGGTACAGGGACATTACTTGTGTTAAATGGTACAGGGACATTACTTGTGTTAAATTGTACAAGGACATTAATTGAGTTAAATGGTACAAGGACATTAATTGAGTTAAATGGTACAGGGACATTAATTGTGTTAAATGGTACAGGGACATTAATTAAGTTAAATGGTATAGGGACATTAATTGAGTTAAATGGTACAGGGACATTAATTGAGTTGAAAGGTACAGGGACATTAATTGTGTTAATGGTACAGGGACATTAATTAAGTTAAATGGTATAGGGACATTAATTGAGTTAAATGGTGCAGGGACATTAATTGATTTGAAAGGTACAGGGACATTATTTGTGTTAAATAGTACAGGGACATTAATTGTGTTAAATGGTACAAAGACATAAATTGAGTTATATGGAACAGGGACATAAATGGTACAGGGACATTAATTGAGTTAAATGGTACAGGGACATTAATTGAGTTGAAAGGTACAGGGACATTATTTGTGTTAAATAGTACAGGGACATCAATGGTGTTAAATGGTACAGGGACATTATTTGTGTTAAATAGTACAGGGACATTAATGGTGTTAAATGGTACAGGGACATAAGTTATATAATATCCTAGCATATTGTTACTCTTTGTAAGGAAATACTTTCTTCAAGTTTACTGAAGTTTATTCTTGCTTAACATCCTATTAACAGCCACAGTCATTTAAGGACATGGAGGTTAGTGGACGGAAGAGAAACCATCAGTATCTTGTGACTAACTCATGTAGGCCTTGAACCCACGGCTCAGGGGTGAAGGGTTAGTGATAAACATGGTATCTGAACCAATCCACCACTGCAGCCCTTTATGTAACAAAAGGAAGTAAATGTTCCTTAGTTATGTAATTCTAACCAGAATACCTTGGTATGTAATTCTCACATTAAGTCCTTGGTATGTAATTCTCACATGAAGTCCTTGGTATGTAATTCTCACCCGAAGTCCTTGGTATGTAATTCTCACCTGAAGTCCTTGGTATGTAATTCTCACCCGAAGTCCTTGGTATGTAATTCTCACCTGAAGTCCTTGGTATGTAATTCTCACATGAAGTCCTTAGTTTTGTAATTATCACCAGAAGTCCTTGGTATGTAATTCTCACCTGAAGTCCTTTGTATGTAATTCTCACCTGAAGTCCTTGGTATGTAATTCTCACCTGAAGTCCTTTGTATGTAATTCTCACCTGAAGTCCTTTGTATGTAATTCTCACCTGAAGTCCTTTGTATGTAATTCTCACCTGAAGTCCTTTGTATGTAATTCTCACCTGAAGTCCTTTGTATGTAAATCTCACCTGAAGTCCTTTGTATGACTTTGAAACTTCTTGGCTACTTTGGATATGGTTCTGAATCCATCTATTGTCAAAAGGAAGTCTTCAATCTTTTTTTTACTGTAAAATAAAATTTCTGCATTAAATATTATTTACAATTTACAATATGGGTCTAATAATCATACAATATCTTTTGTCTAATAACAAGAAAAATGGGGCCTGTATCACTCAACTGTTCAACACTTTCTAAACTAGAGCTTTCTTTTAATGTTTGCATTTTTCATGTTCATCCTAACTTAAGATCATGTGTTTTATTTAAGATGTAGATAAAGGAACATAACACAAATCTGGTTGAGAATTTTTATATTACCGACCTCTGTCAGAAAAGGTCAAGGTCATATATTCAAGAAAACTTAATACACCTTGATCCCAGCATTTTACTAGCTTCATATCATGAATTTATGCCTTTTGTTTATTCTGAAAAAGTTGTACAAATATTTTAATATGTTAAACCTTAAAAGTATGTCAAGGTCATTCATTTGAACAAGCTTTGACTTTTACTCTTTAGAATGTACTGTATGTTTTTTAACTCATTGTATTTTACCTGTACTTGGCCTCGTCAAACATGATGGCACGAGAATCGGGGTGGTTTTTACTTTTTGATGCTGATCCCAGACTGTGGATTCTGAAAGAGTAAAGCAAAAGTGTTGGTTTCAGAGGTATTCTTAAACTTAGCTTTAGGGAGAGAATTCTGTCTCCACTGAAGCAGGCGTTTCCATCAGAATTGACAGCATTTAAGATGTGACATTTGCTTCACTGATGACTCTTAATTTATTCATTGATCCATGCTGATGCGACTTTAGCCAGATTCTACACTGTGATATATTAAATGGTTAAGAAGTGATGGTCTGAATGAGAGGAAGCAGAGGAACCAGTAATAACATGTCTCCTTTCATTTGACTGGGAAACATTTATAATGTTTAAGAATGTTTATTATTAAAATGAATTTGACTGGGAAACATTTATTATCAAAATAAATTAAGAATCAAAGAGCAATAGTAATAATGATAATAACAATGATAATAGACTTTATTTCATAAGAATCTGTTTAGTCTAGGCTAATCTTCCACATGGTCCACATGGTCCACATGGCTTGTATAATTACTCCTTAATTCTCAGTTTGTCCCTGGCTTGTATAATTACTCCTTAATTCTCAGTTTGTCCCGGGCTTGTATAATTACTCCTTAATTCTCAGTTTGTCCCGGGCTTGTATAATTACTCCTTAATTCTCAGTTTGTCCCGGGCTTGTATAATTACTCTCTAATTCTCAGTTTGTCCCGGGCTTGTATAATTACTCTCTAATTCTCAGTTTGTCCCGGGCTTGTATAATTACTCCTTAATTCTCAGTTTGTCCCGGGCTTGTATAATTACTCCTTAATTCTCAGTTTGTCCCGGGCTTGTATAATTACTCCTTAATTCTCAGTTTGTCCCGGGCTTGTATAATTACTCCTTAATTCTCAGTTTGTCCCGGGCTTGTATAATTACTCCTTAATTCTCAGTTTGTCCCGGGCTTGTATAATTACTCCTTAATTCTCAGTTTGTCCCGGGCTTGTATAATTACTCCTTAATTCTCAGTTTGTCCCAGGCTAGTATAATTACTCCTTAATTCTCAGCTTGTCCCGGGCTTGTATAATTACTCCTTAATTCTCAGTTTGTCCCGGGCTTGTATAATTACTCCTTAATTCTCAGTTTGTCCCGGGCTTGTATAATTACTCCTTAATTCTCAGTTTGTCCCGGGCTTGTATAATTACTCCTTAATTCTCAGTTTGTCCCGGGCTTGTATAATTACTCCTTAATTCTCAGTTTGTCCCGGGCTTGTATAATTACTCCTTAATTCTCAGTTTGTCCCGGGCTTGTATAATTACTCCTTAATTCTCAGTTTGTCCCGGGCTTGTATAATTACTCCTTAATTCTTAGTTTGTCCCGGGCTTGTATAATTACTCCTTAATTCTTAGTTTGTCCCGGGCTTGTATAATTACTCCTTAATTCTTAGTTTGTCCCGGGCTTGTATAATTACTCCTTAATTCTTAGTTTGTCCCGGGCTTGTATAATTACTCCTTAATTCTTAGTTTGTCCCGGGCTTGTATAATTACTCCTTAATTCTTAGTTTGTCCCGGGCTTGTATAATTACTCCTTAATTCTTAGTTTGTCCCGGGCTTGTATAATTACTCCTTAATTCTTAGTTTGTCCCGGGCTTGTATAATTACTCCTTAATTCTTAGTTTGTATATGTACTCTAATTTCCCTGCATACTGATAAGTAACCAAGCAAGGAATGCAAGGACATGACATAATCTTCCTACAAGGACGATATCTCAGCACCTATGTTATTAAAATAAACATATTGCAGTACACATATGCAATAACATAACTGATTTTGATCCCTATCCTAATCTACAATCTAACAAAAAAAAAAATTAAATCCAGTTTTCTATTACTTCGTAATCGATATTTACCTGGTTATCAATATTTACCTGGTTATCAATTTTTTACCTGGTAATCAATGTTTACTTCGTAATCAATATTTACCTGGAAATAATCAATATTTACCTGGTAATCAATATTCACCTCTTATAATATTTACCTGTTTAATAATCTCTCTAAATCAGGTAACTTTTTTATAATTTCTGCAGTTGTAGCAACTAAATCTGGACAGCCAATGAGATCCTCTACAGCATCCAGTCGATCGTTAATGGAGACAGGATTACAAAGTGGGGCACACAGCCATTGTCTGAACAGACGTCGACCTGAAATCAAAACAATACCAATAAATCAATACATTGTTTTATAAGTTATCATGTTATGCTTTTCCTTACAAAGGGAAGATTTCATAACCAATACCATCGAAACAACTTAATGATATTATCAACAATATGAGCCCTATATATAACCTCTTTACCCACCCTTACACTTAGTACAGTCTTCAATCTCTGTCATACACATTGCAAATTTATCGTTTGTGCCAGAAACTAGATACAAAAGGAATGCATGTTTAATAGAAATTGTACAATTGTCTTTTTTTTCTCTTGAAAAAATCTTATTTTCAAGGAACTGATTTTTTTCAAACGTTTTGTAATTGAAAATGGAACACAAAAAGATAATAATGATCACCAATCCCCTAACATTAACAGTATCTACAGTAACTGTAGGTTTGTTTCTCTGTCACCAGTAGTCAAGGAAGACTGGTGACAGAGATCTGTTAAAACCTTCATCCTGGACTACTGGTGACAGAGATCTGTTAAAACCTTCATCCTGGACTACTGGTGACATAGATTTGTTAAAATCTTCATCCTTGACTACTGGTGATGGAGATCTGTTAAAACCTTCATCCTGGACTACTGGTGACAGAGATCTGTTAAAACCTTCATCCTGGACTACTGGTGACAGAGATCTGTTAAAACCTTCATCCTGGACTACTGGTGACATAGATCTGTTAAAACCTTCATCCTTGACTACTGGTGACACAGATCTGTTAAAACCTTCACCTTGACTACTGGTGATGGTGATCAGTTAAAACCTACATCCTTGACTACTGGTGACATAGATCTGTTAAAACCTTCATCCTTGACTACTGGTGATGGAGATCTGTTAAAACCTTCACCTTGACTACTGGTGATGGTGATCAGTTAAAACCTACATCCTTGACTACTGGTGACATAGATCTGTTAAAACCTTCATCCTGGACTACTGGTGACATAGATCTGTTAAAACCTACATCCTTGACTACTGGTGATGGTGATCAGTTAAAACCTACATCCTGGACTACTGGTGACATAGATCTGTTAAAACCAACATCCTTGACTACTGGTGACATAGATCTGTTAAAACCTTCATCCTTGACTACTGGTGATGAAGATCTGTTAAAACCTACATCCCTGACTACTGGTGACATAGATCTGTTAAAACCTTCATCCTTGATTACTGGTGACATAGATCTGTTAAAACCTACATCCTTGACTACTGGTGACATAGATCTGTTAAAACCTATATCCTTGACTACTGGTGACAGGGATCTGTTAAAACCTTCATCCTCGACTACTGGTGACAGAGATCTGTTAAAACCTTCATACAGTGTCTGTGGTATACCTGTTTTAACAGTTTCCATGGTAACCTACATAGATCAAATCATAGAACACAGTGACTGGTTAACCTGTTACAAAAGTAACCATGGTAACCTACATAGATCAAATCATATAACACAGTGACTGGTTAACCTGTTATAACAGTTACCATGGTAACCGACACTAATCGTTGACTTGGTTACCTACCAAAGGGGGTATTACAGTGATCTAGTTGCTCCAGTAGCGTACCCTCCAATGTGCCAGTGGACGAGTTTTCTGTGATATCAAGGTTAGCTAAGGTCACTCCATCCAACACCTAAAACATGTCACAGCCATACTGCTAAATATGACTATATATAACTCTATATATAGATCAGATTAGTTTGAACCCACAGAGCTACCCAATGGCCAATACCATTAATATGGAAGAGTTGAATCTCCTACAGATCAAAAATGATAAAAATAATGTGGCAGGTAACAGACACATTTAAATTATGAAATTGATACCAAAATCTTTACAATTTTCATGTCAAATTATGAACATTTTTTAAATACATGATTCAACATGACACTCACCATGTGTTGACGACTACCAAAGCTCTCCTTTTTCTTCTCTTTCACTTCTACACCATCCAAAGGACAGTACTCTTCAAAATTGTTCATAGAGAGGAGCTCTTGGTCAAGTAGACTGTACTGTAGATACCTACAGACAAAAGTACCTCACAATCAATCTATACCTACAGACAAAAGTACCTCACAATCAATCTATACTGTATACAGACAAAAGTACCCCACAATCAATCTATACTGTATACAGACAAAAGTACCCCACAATCAATCTATACTGTATACAGACAAAAGTACCCCACAATCAATCTATACTGTATACAGACAAAAGTACCCCACAATCAATCTATACTGTATACAGACAAAAGTACCCCACAATCAATCTATACCTACAGACAAAAGTACCTCACAATCAATCTATACTGTATACAGACAAAAGTACCCCACAATCAATCTATACTGTATACAGACAAAAGTACCCCAAAATCAATCTATACTGTATACAGACAAAAGTACCTCACAATCAATCTATACTGTATACAGACAAAAGTACCCCACAATCAATCTTTACTGTATACAGACAAAATTACCCCACAATCAATCTATACCTACAGACAAAAGTACCTCACAGTCAATCTATATTGTATACAGACAAAAGTACCTCACAATCAATCTATACTGTATACAGACAAACGTACCCCACAATCAATCTATACTGTATACAGACAAACATACCCCACAATCAATCTATACTGTATACAGACAAAAGTACCCCACAATCAATCTATACTGTATACAGACAAAAGTACCCCACAATCAATCTATACTGTATACAGACAAAAGTACCTCACAATCAATCTATACTGTATACAGACAAACGTACCCCACAATCAATCTATACCTACAGACAAAAGTACCCCACAATCAATCTATACTGTATACAGACAAAAGTACCCCACAATCAATCTATACTGTATACAGACAAACGTACTCCACAATCAATCTATACTGTATACAGACAAAAGTACCCCACAATCAATCTATACTGTATACAGACAAAAGTACCCCACAATCAATCTATACTGTATACAGACAAAAGTACCCCACAATCAATCTATACTGTATACAGACAAAAGTACCCCACAATCAATCTATACTGTATACAGACAAACGTACTCCACAATCAATCTATACTGTATACAGACAAAAGTACCCCACAATCAATCTATACTGTATCAATCTATACTGTATACAGACAAAAGTACCCCACAATCAATCTATACTGTATACAGACAAACATACCCCACAATCAATCTATACTGTATACAGACAAACGTACCCCACAATCAATCTATACTGTATACAGACAAAAGTACCCCACAATCAATCTATACTGTATACAGACAAAAGTACCCCACAATCAATCTATACTGTATACAGACAAAAGTACCCCACAATCAATCTATACTGTATACAGACAAAAGTACCCCACAATCAATCTATACTGTATACAGACAAAAGTACCCCACAATCTATCTATACTGTATACAGACAAAAGTACCCCACAATCTATCTATACTGTATACAGACAAAAGTACCCCACAATCTATCTATACTGTAGTTGTGTACAGAGGCCTTTAGACCCTGTATTGCTCATCTGGTTTTCCTGATTGAATTATCCAAACCTAAGGAAAAGGAATTCTAAGAGTTTGTTTCTGTCCCATTAGCTGCAGCCCCTCTGCCCTTACGGAAAACTATTTATACAATTTATACAAGTCTCATTGCTTCAGACAAAATGGGGATAGAATCCTGCCAATCCTATAGATGATGATGGATAATGAAGACTTTACTTTATTTTTCAAAATTTGGCCCAGCCCTTTCCACCCAGGGCAGAGACCCAATGAGCAGACAGCTGATTTTCCTTCATCAAAGAATTCTTCAGACCAAACTGGGACAGAATTGCCACATTTCTATAAAGGAAGGATTTTAAAGAATTTCCCCGACTGAAATCCACCTCTGTTGCCCCTGGAGATGGAGACTGGTTATATATGAAATATTGATTCTTCTCAATATAATATCAAATTTAGACAAAAACCCTAGCATTCTACAGAAGAATGAAGATTTTAAATAATTTGCTCTGATCAGATATTGGGCCCTGCCCTTATGGCCCCAGGGGCAGGGACTCACCACTTATATGCTATCTATTCACCCTAGGTTCCTTCCGATGAAAGTGGGACAGAATCCTGACATTCCTACATAATGATTTAAAAAAGAATTTGTTCAAATTCCCTTATTGGCTGCAACCCCTCCAGGCCAAAAGGGGCCAAGACCCACTGTGTACCTCTTCACCCTAAGATGTTTCACTCCAAACTGTGACACAATCTTAACAATCCTACATAAGAAGGATTTTAATGACTTTACACTATTACCCCTATTTGGCCCAACCCCTCTGGCCCCATGAGGCCCAGACTCTCCATTTATATAAAACTGAATCTGCTTCATTTAAGAATGCTTCAGACCAAATTTGGACAAAATATAATCATTGCTACAGACAGATTTTAAAGAATTTGCTCTGTTGCCCCTATTGGGCCACACCCTCCTGCAAAGAGGAATGAGACATACCTTTTTCTCTTCAAAAATGAGTCCCCTTCACCCAACCATGTTTCAGATCATTCTTGCAGAAGAATAATGATTTTGTCATGTGACTGCCCCCAATGTTTGTACAGCTAGATGTGACTGCCCCCAATGTTTGTACAGCTAGATGTGACTGCCCCCAATGTTTGTACAGCTAGATGTGACTGCCCCCAATGTTTGTACAGCTAGATGTGACTGCCCCCAATGTTTGTACAGCTAGATGTGACTGCCCCCAGTGCCTATACAGCTAGACATTACCTACCATGTGACTGCCCCCAGTGCCTATACAGCTAGACATTACCTACCATGTGACCGCCCCCAGTGCTCGTACAGCTAGACATTACCTACCATGTGACTGCCCCCAGTGCCTATACAGCTAGACATTACCTACCATGTGACTGCCCCCAGTGCTCGTACAGCTAGACATTACCTACCATGTGACTGCCCCCAGTGCTCGTACAGCTAGACATTACCTACCATGTGACTGCCCCCAGTGCTCGTACAGCTAGACATTACCTACCATGTGACTGCCCCTAGTGCCTATACAGCTAGACATTACCTACCATGTGACTGCCTCCAGTGCCTATACAGCTAGATGTGACTGCCCCCAGTGCCTATACAGCTAGACATTACCTACCATGTGACTGCCCCCAGTGCTCGTACAGCTAGACATTACCTACCATGTGACTGCCCCCAGTGCTCGTACAGCTAGAGAATATTCGTCTGCAGCAGTCATTCCTAAAGCATCAGCTGTAATATACATAAACCTACATTAACATTGTGTTTCTAGAGGAAAAGATTTCATACCACGATCAAGGTCACAGGATATAATTAAATTTGCATGTCACATCAGAATATAACTTCTTCATGTCTTCACAAATAAAACTTCAGTTTGAATCTCTGAATATTTCTAATGAAAAAACTTTTGTTTTTGGGACAATTATGGAATTCAATCCCAAACGAAGAGGATCAACAAAATATTTTCTTTTTATCTAAAATACTAAATTCTTACATGCCTTCCCCCCCCACCTTCCCCCACCCATTCATACTTTCAAATTCCCATATTCATACTTTTAATTTTCAAATTTTCTATCACTTTGGGGAATCATTGATAAAAAATTTTCTTCAAACCTGATAAAAATGAAGGCAATCAATAATTTAAACTCCAAATTTATCTCCAGAAAGCAAGATGTAAATGTAGCATCCCTTAAAAATTGCTAGAATTAACCTCATGTTACCCTGAAACTGAAAAATTTACAGTGAGTAGTTTCTTACAGCTATATTCCAGGCAAAAGAAGAAATTTCTTACACACCTAACTTGTTATAACAGACCAAAGGAGTATATGTTGATTTTGAAAACACAACATTTTACAGGTGATAATGAAGAAATGATCAATGTACTGTTTATTTTAAGGAAGAAAACTACTTAGTAAAGAAATGTCTTACTCTCACTGATCATTTTCTTTATCGTAGCTGGCCATACAAACTCATCGTTGACTTTAAAATAATCCTCTTCAGCAAGGCGTTTGAGTGTTTTGGAACTTTCCCAGAACTCTGAACCAGATGCTAAGCCTTCTTTTGACACAGATGTCAGATTGTTTTTTAGCACTAATTGTGTCTTTGTTGTCATTTTATTCTTTTCAAATAATACCTGTAAATAAACAATCAATATATAAAAGATATATATATATATATAATTTTAAAAGATAAAAACTTTGTGTATTGTATATACAGAGAAAATTAATCACTTAACATGACAAACAAATATATCACTAACGTTTTCAGGCCTCGCGGCCATCTTCAGGTGATTACATTACATGTACACTGTACGTTACTTAGTAACCTACATTGTGACGTAATGTTATTGTTAATAACCTTATCAATTGTGTCCCAACGCAATCTTCAGTGTGTATTTAGGGACGGTTTAAACAGTTTGATAAAAAAATCTTCTCTGATGATTCGTTTTGACGTTGTAGATTCTGACATCTTATAGAACGGGTATATAACAAAGTTTCCTTTGCCGCAGATGTCCAAATGTTCACTCAGCAGAATATTTACCTGTGAAGGGGTGTAGTGACCTATAAAATATTTACCTGTGTAGAGGTGTAGTGACCTGTAAAATATTTACCTGTGTAGAGGTGTAGTGACCTGTAAAATATTTATCTGTGTAGAGGTGTAGTGACCTATACAATATTTACCTGTGTAGAGGTGTAGTGACCTATAAAATATTTACCTGTGTAGAGGTGTAATGACCTATGAAATATTTACCTGTGTAGAGGTGTAGTGACCTATAAAATATTTACCTGTGTAGAGGTGTAGTGACCTATAAAATATTTACCTGTGTAGAGGTGTAGTGACCTATAAAATATTTACCTGTGTAGAGATGTAGTGACCTATAAAATATTTACCTGTGTAGAGGTGTAGTGACCTATAAAATATTTACCTGTGTAGAGGTGTAGTGACCTATAAAATATTTACCTGTGTAGAGATGTAGTGACCTATAAAATATTTACCTATGTAGAGGTGTAGTGACCTATAAAATATTTACCTGTGTAGAGGTGTAGTGACCTATAAAATATTTACCTGTGTAGAGGTGTAGTGACCTATGAAATATTTACCTGTGTAGAGGTGTAGTGACCTATAAAATATTTACCTGTGTAGAGGTGTAGTGACCTATGAAATATTTACCTGTGTAGAGGTGTAGTGACCTATGAAATATTTACCTGTGTAGAGGTGTAGTGACCTATAAAATATTTACCTGTGTAGAGGTGTAGTGACCTATAAAATATTTACCTGTGTAGAGGTGTAGTGACCTATAAAATATTTACCTGTGTAGAGGTGTAGTGACCTATAAAATATTTACCTGTGTAGAGGTGTAGTGACCTATAAAATATTTACCTGTGTAGAGGTGTAGTGACCTGTAAAATATTTACCTGTGTAGAGGTGTAGTGACCTGTAAAATATTTATCTGTGTAGAGGTGTAGTGACCTATACAATATTTACCTGTGTAGAGGTGTAGTGACCTATAAAATATTTACCTGTGTAGAGGTGTAATGACCTATGAAATATTTACCTGTGTAGAGGTGTAGTGACCTATAAAATATTTACCTGTGTAGAGGTGTAGTGACCTATAAAATATTTACCTGTGTAGAGGTGTAGTGACCTATAAAATATTTACCTGTGTAGAGATGTAGTGACCTATAAAATATTTACCTGTGTAGAGGTGTAGTGACCTATAAAATATTTACCTGTGTAGAGGTGTAGTGACCTATAAAATATTTACCTGTGTAGAGGTGTAGTGACCTATGAAATATTTACCTGTGTAGAGGTGTAGTGACCTATAAAATATTTACCTGTGTAGAGGTGTAGTGACCTATGAAATATTTACCTGTGTAGAGGTGTAGTGACCTATAAAATATTTACCTGTGTAGAGATGTAGTGACCTATAAAATATTTACCTGTGTAGAGATGTAGTGACCTATAAAATATTTACCTGTGTAGAGGTGTAGTGACCTATAAAATATTTACCTGTGTAGAGGTGTAGTGACCTATAAAATATTTACCTGTGTAGAGGTGTAGTGACCTATAAAATATTTACCTGTGTAGAGGTGTAGTGACCTGTAAAATATTTACCTGTGTAGAGGTGTAGTGACCTGTAAAATATTTACCTGTGTAGAGGTGTAGTGACCTGTAAAATATTTACCTGTGTAGAGGTGTAGTGACCTATAAAATATTTACCTGTGTAGAGGTGTAGTGACCTATAAAATATTTACCTGTGTAGAGGTGTAGTGACCTATAAAATATTTACCTTTGTAGAGGTGTAGTGACCTATAAAATATTTACCTGTGTAGAGGTGTAGTGACCTATAAAATATTTACCTGTGTAGAGGTGTAGTGACCTATAAAATATTTACCTGTGTAGAGGTGTAGTGACCTATAAAATATTTACCTGTGTAGGGGTGTAATGAGCTATCAATGTCCGTAGTCTGGAGCAGTATCGGTCATCAGGAAACTGACCAAGCTGTAAGAAGACATAAAACACACACTGTACAGTTATAAATCCTTATGGGTGATTTATTCACAAATTAATCAGATTTTAATCATTTATATGAATGTAGTTTTTTATGATAAAGGTACACACCACTATGCTTAGCATTATAGTTACCACTGGCAAACATAATGTACTGATGAAGTTGTATACTTATTGTTACAACTCACAAAACTGAATGGTCAGGTAGTGTGTGGCAACACACTTTCACCAAGATATACAGGATTTGACATCAGACATCAGTACGTATATGTTGCCTGCCTGACCATATAAATTCAAACCGAATACTACCATGTTTAGCCACTTGTTTATATCATGACCGACTTGATATTCAGTGAATTTGTCATATTCTTGTGTATTACCCATGTGTAATATAGCTTAATATGACGTCACTTTAGATAATCAAATTAAATCACAATTTGACAGGTGACAACAGCAGCCATAGATATAGTGAGGACATGACTTCAAGTTTAACACAGAAATGGCTGTTTTACTATTTTGCCATTTGCATAACATATTTAGTCCTGTGATAATAAAAAAAAATTGTTTTCATTCGATGTAGAATTTATGAAACTCATCAATTTTTTACTACAGCTCATTAAAATCTTGCTGAAATGAAAAATTGTTTGACCTATTTAAAAAATTCACTTATCCATCGGATAGCCATGTAAGATCCTACATTTATGATCACAATATTTAGCGTCACAAAGATTATAATATAGAGGCAAATAATTTACCATGGATGACAATTAAGAAAGCATTAGAAAGATATAACCCAATTTTACTCATTACTATCTCAAGTGTAAGACGCAGATATTCCGAGAAAGAATGATATTTCTGGAAATGTTCTCATCATCGACATGCTTCATGGAAAAACCAAAAGTTACACAAGTAAGAGTGTACTGAGATATACTTACATAAAACTTCCCTATAGAAGTATCAACAAAACACACTCCAAAGGTGCTGCAACCTTCCACACTACCCTCCTGTCAACAACAAAGTTGTATTGTTTTCTTTCCATTGAATACAGCAAAGCTTAAAAAAAAAGTTCTAGCTCAGTACAATGGGTTATGCTTCCTGAATGGGACAAAATCTAAGTATGAACAAGAGATCCCAGAGGGATCTTGGCACCCACCATTATTTGATCTTCATATACTCTTTTAAACTTTTATACTCAAACTAAAACAGGCACAACAAGGGACCTGAATGGCCCACAAGAATCCATCCAAGATGGCCAGTTGTGTGCCATTTTTTGGGGTTTTTTTATCAGACCAAAAGTCAAATGGCACAACTAGGGACCAAGGGGAACCAACTTATGAAACATAAAATAGATCCATCCAGTACTTCTCAAGAAATAGTGATATCAAAAATTGTTCACATATGGACAGAAGACGGACTGTGGACGCAGAGTGATTTGAATAGCCCTTCATCTGATGATAACAAAGGACAAGAACTCCTAATATATGCAAAAGAGAGTGCTGTTTTGTGTGCACTGCACTTCTCCTTATTTTTATCTATCTACCTTTGATGTTTTATGTTGATATCGCATATAGTTTTTGTGTCATATTTCGGACAAAATTATGATGGATGGACAAACAGAAGGACAGACAAAGCAGCAACTATACGCTCTTTCTTCGGGGAGCATAAGAATACAATGTTATCAAAAGACATGACAACCATCTAAAATAGTTTTCTAATGCCATGAATAACCAACATGATCCAACTGGAGACAATTAGGAAGGTTCACAGTCAAATATCTGGTGACTTTGTATCTGGTTTGCTATGGTAATTCAAATTTCTGTGCAACAGAGTTCATTGCAACGTCCTTCAATAAATAAAATTCTCCATGTTCTAACCCACAGAAATGTCTACCAACCCCACAAAGTTATTCTGTGTTGTATCATGTCTACCAACCCCACAAAATTATTCTGAGTGATTGTATCATGTCTACCAACCCCACAAAATTATTCTGTGTGATTATATCATGTTTACCAACCCCACAAAATTATTCTGAGTGACTGGAATAGGTACCAGGTGTTTTTACCATAAACACTAGATCAATTTATTTGCCATATTACTTCAGAGTTGTGAAATTCTTAAACATGACACTGAGAGTAAAGTCAGACCTCATCCCTTCGTCATGACGCGAAAAAAACCGCCAAACTATTGAATGACATATAGTTCTCTATTATTTACCTTTTCTGCAATGGCAATGAGGAAATTGTTCTCAGCACCACTAGAGTCACCATCCATGAAGCTAAACGTCTGTGTGCCTTTCGTTGTTACACGACAAACTTCCCGCTTAACAACTTTGTCAAACTTTGTCGGTTGCTTTGAGGCTGAAACAGAATAGTTGTTTACAAACTTCCCGCTTAACAACTTTGTCAAACTTTGTCGGTTGCTTTGAGGCTGAAACAGAATAGTTGTTTACAAACTTCCCGCTTAACAACTTTGTCAAACTTTGTCGGTTGCTTTGAGGCTGAAACAGAATAATTGTTTACAAACTTTCCACAGGACAACTTTGTCAAACTTTGTAGGTTGCTTTAAGGCTGATACAAATAAATTGTTTCTTCATCAATAACAATTTACTGCATTTCTTCATGTCTGGATTTCTATTATTCCAAACGTGTCGCAGGAACATTTTGTGAAAAATTCAGGGACCTTATCCTTGTTCAGTCTCAATAACAGGGACCTTATCCTTGTTCAGTCTCAATAACAGGGACCTTATCCTTGTTCAGTCTCAATAACAGGGACCTTATCCTTGTTCAGTCTCAATAACTGGGACCTTATCCTTGTTCAGTCTCAATAACAGGGACCTTATCCTTGTTCAGTCTCAATAACAGGGACCTTATCCTTGTTCAGTCTCAATAACAGGGACCTTATCCTTGTTCAGTCTCAATAACAGGGATCCTTTCTCAATAACAGGGACCTTATCCTTGTTCAGTCTCAATAACAGGGACCTTATCCTTGTTCAGTCTCAATAACAGGGACCTTATCCTTGTTCAGTCTCAATAACAGGGACCTTATCCTTGTTCAGTCTCAATAACAGGGACCTTATCCTTGTTCAGTCTCAATAACTGGGACCTTATCCTTGTTCAGTCTCAATAACAGGGACCTTATCCTTGTTCAGTCTCAATAACTGGGACCTTATCCTTGTTCAGTCTCAATAACTGGGACCTTATCCTTGTTCAGTCTCAATAACAGGGACCTTATCCTTGTTCAGTCTCAATAACAGGGACCTTATCCTTGTTCAGTCTCAATAACAGGGACCTTATCCTTGTTCAGTCTCAATAACAGGGACCTTATCCTTGTTCAGTCTCAATAACAGGGACCTTATCCTTGTTCAGTCTCAATAACTGGGACCTTATCCTTGTTCAGTCTCAATAACAGGGACCTTATCCTTGTTCAGTCTCAATAACAGGGACCTTATCCTTGTTCAGTCTCAATAACAGGGACCTTATCCTTGTTCAGTCTCAATAACAGGGACCTTATCCTTGTTCAGTCTCAATAACAGGGACCTTATCCTTGTTCAGTCTCAATAACAGGGACCTTATCCTTGTTCAGTCTCAATAACTTATCCTTGTTCAGTCTCAATAACAGGGACCTTATCCTTGTTCAGTCTCAATAACAGGGACCTTATCCTTGTTCAGTCTCAATAACAGGGACCTTATCCTTGTTCAGTCTCAATAACTGGGACCTTATCCTTGTTCAGTCTCAATAACTGGGACCTTATCCTTGTTCAGTCTCAATAACAGGGACCTTATCCTTGTTCAGTCTCAATAACAGGGACCTTATCCTTGTTCAGTCTCAATAACAGGGACCTTATCCTTGTTTCTCAATAACAGTCTCAATAACTACCTTATCCTTGTTCAGTCTCAATAACTGGGACCTTATCCTTGTTCAGTCTCAATAACAGGGACCTTATCCTTGTTCAGTCTCAATAACAGGGACCTTATCCTTGTTCAGTCTCAATAACAGGGACCTTATCCTTGTTCAGTCTCAATAACTGGGACCTTATCCTTGTTCAGTCTCAATAACAGGGACCTTATCCTTGTTCAGTCTCAATAACAGGGACCTTATCCTTGTTCAGTCTCAATAACAGGGACCTTATCCTTGTTCAGTCTCAATAACTAAGAAAGGTTCTCATTAACATGTTTTAGTTTATAAAAATCTGATTCACAGAAAAGTATAAACCACTATCCTATCTTGTTATATGGAACTTGTATAACTTGAAGGCCCCATTTAATCTGAAGCATATTGTTGGTCCCTGTCTGACTATACACAATTGAACCCACTTAAATTGAATACTCAGTGATCTCGAAGTTCTCCTATGTTCCGGCCAAGTTCCAAATAACAAGTTTCAATAGTATTTACATTTTTCATGTAAACTGTCGTTAAGCTGTAACTATAATAACTATATAAAAACTGGGCTACACCACACTCTTAACCACTTCTTTTCTTTTAGATACTGTATATTCTAAAGACTTAATGCCATGTTTTATGCTGAACATTTTCATTTCTGACAAAATTAATTACAATTTCAGCTGAATCTATAGAACTTTTTGAAACATTTGAATTTCATGGGACTTACAGGTTTTCAGGCGTTCATTCATCATTTCTGGAGTCTCTGTCTGTTCAATACGGACGACCTTGTACCCTTTCTGTATAAGTGTCTCCGCGTATCTGTTATAAGCTATTTCTGGAAATCCCGAGTGAGCCTGTTCTCCCTGTGAAAGAGTCAAAATGGATTCATATTCAAAATATTTTACAAACTATCGTACATATTTTTCTTCCATCAAATATCAGATAAGAAGAAAAGAAGAAAACTATCTGCATAAATAAATATCCTTTTAACCTTCAATTTTGATCCATTTAAGTCTGAAATATGAACTAATTTCAGGTATTCTTATACAAAACTTTTTTTTAACCTTAATCCTTAAAACAAGAAAAATGTCTGAGGCATGAACACTTTCTCTCCAATGCATACAAGTATCCTTGTTTGATGAATAAGCAGAAGTTGTCAAATGTGACCTTTGACCTTGACTAATGTCCACATCAATAAGGTTGGGTGTAGAACTTAATATCATGACACTATGGGGTAAATATCATGACATTATGGGGTAAATATCATGACACTATGGGTAAATATCATGACACTATGGGGTAAATATCATGACACTATGGGGTAAATATCATGACACTATGGGGTAAATATCATGACACTATTTCAGAATTGCATACAACTGGACCAACAGACATAGGTAGGACTACATGTCCACCCTCCCCTTTCCTCACCAGTGGTCCTGAAAATTGAGTGATGTCACTGAATAGGAATTTCTCTCAGTAATGCAATTTGCAGAAGTTAACTGAAAACCTCTTTAGAAATCGAGTCACAACAACGATGTCACTATTTGGAATTATGAAGTTCTATTAATAGCAATAGTAACCTTGACCTAAGAGCTCTTAAACATGAGCTCACTCGATGCAATGAAATAGGTTATAACTAACATGTATGAAGTAAACTTCATATCAAAGTTGATGTTATCAGAGAGATGAGAGGACACAAGAGGATAGAACTAGTCAAATAAATCCTCATTCTTTCTTAGATATCCCAACACAGACTAAAGATCTGTCTAAACATCAGATATTATATACCATTTCGATGGCAACATCAGATATTATATACCATTTCCATGGCAACATCAGATATTATATACCATTTCCATGGCAACATCAGATATTATATACCATTTCCATGGCAACATCAGATATTTTATACCATTTCGATGGCAACATCAGATATTATATACCATTTCCATGGCAACATCAGATATTATATACCATTTCCATGGCAACATCAGATATTATATACCATTTCGATGGCAACATCAGATATTATATACCATTTCCATGGCAACATCAGATATTATATACCATTTCGATGGCAACATCAGATATTATATATCATTTCCATGGCAACATCAGATATTATATACCATTTCCATGGCAACATCAGATATTATATACCATTTCGATGGCAACATCAGATATTATATATCATTTCCATGGCAACATCAGATATTATATACCATTTCGATGGCAACATCAGATATTATATATCATTTCCATGGCAACATCAGATATTATATACCATTTCCATGGCAACATCAGATATTATATACCATTTCCATGGCAACATCAGATATTATATACCATTTCCAAGGCAACATCAGATATTATATACCATTTCGATGGCAACATCAGATATTATATACCATTTCCATGGCAACATCAGATATTATATACCATTTCCAAGGCAACATCAGATATTATATACCATTTCGATGGCAACATCAGATATTTTATACCATTTCCATGGCAACATCAGATATTATATACCATTTCCATGGCAACATCAGATATTATATACCATTTCCATGGCAACATCAGATATTATATACCATTTCCAAGGCAACATCAGATATTATATATCATTTCCATGGCAACATCAGATATTATATACCATTTCCATGGCAACATCACATATTATATACCATTTCCATGGCAACATCAGATATTGTATACCATTTCCAAGGCAACATTGGGGTTCTTCCATTAAAACAGTTCCCATACCTGCCAACTTTCTCGATTCAGTCGGGAGTTTTCTGATATTTACTCCAGCCCGCGTCCCAAACGTATGGATCAAAGTCAGAAGAATCTCCCGATTTCAGAGATCTCGCTTGGTATGTCATAAATAACCTTGATATATTTGTCAAATTGGTAAGACTGACCACCTGGTCACATAATCAAGGCCTAGCTAGGTAAGTACACTGCCCAATTATCTAATTAGTGTCACCTAATTAAAGTTAATCCTAAATGACCGCCATGCTTGGAAGCACACTTGTACACGACCGAGTGTTCCCTACCTAATTAACGGCAGACCATTGGTCAGGACTTGGGGCCTGGTAATTGTTTGGTTAAGATGAGGTCATTAAGCAGATAATTAGGTAGTGATTACCATTTTTAGACTATCAAATAAATTGAACAAGATCTTTAGGATGTAATAATATGCAAGCATTTCTTGATCAATACCAATAACGTTTATCATGTCAGTCCTTAAAAAACTACTTAGTTGGCAGCGTGAGTCAAAATTCAGATCTCTATTAAATTTTTTAAAAAATGAAAGCTTAAAATTTCATGAGATGATCCTATCATTTTTCCTTATTTCAATTAAACAATTTTTTTTCAGAAGGGTCATATTTGGAAATATATATCCTTACTAATAACCAAACAGATAATCACCAGTCTCAATATCTGTTATATTGTGCGAGTTCTGTGAATACTGTGAATTTAGATAAATAAATTCCAACTCGATCCTGACTTGCAAAAAAGTCTGATCCTTTTTTCATTATTTAGTACAGTAAAGTACACACTTTATCAAGTTATAAACTTATCCAAAAGTGTTACTTAAATATCTATTCATTAATTTTTCCATTGTGACAAATGTCCTGACACGCAAGGTATCGTGGCGAGTCATAAATGTTGTTCACATACTTTTCTCCCGCATCAGAATTTTGAAAAGTTGGCAGGTATGAGTTCCAAAAGCCAAATTATTCAAAAGGTTTACAAGGTAGCATCCTTAACTTGAGCACCATCCGAGCTCTGCTTAAGCTCTTTTTGTAGTCTTTGTTAACATCCATAATTACATACTCACCTTCATGAAAATGATTCCTAGTTCATTCACACCTACAACAGCATCCATGTGAAAAAGCTCGTAAAATTTCCCCATCTGTAAACACAAAAAGAACTATATAATAAACATCAAACGACCTTCACCCATGAAATTTCCTGTTTATACAACTCTAAAAGAGGATATTCTCCCGCTGATTTTCCACACATTTCAAGGAGCGCCAAAATTAATGATTCTGTGAAAATATCCAAGCTTTTGATAAACCATAGAAATCTGATCAGCAAAAACAGAAAAAACACCCGTCTGTACAGTAATGGTGAAGGGATATCAATGTCGTCTCTGAATGTCCTGATCGAGTAACAGAATTAAATAAATGTCTTAATTAAACATCATCAACAAAACAATGATAAAAATTTTAAAAATAATCAAAATATTATTCTTTTAAAACAGAACTGTTCCACCACTCACCTTGAAGAAAAGAATAGAGTCAAAATATTTTGCTTTCAGTTCCCACCATTGCCTCATGGCCTGTAAATACGACAATTAATGATAATTCATATAAGTAAATATAGACACACAAAAAATCAATATATTTGGACAAACAAGAAACAATTATCTTTGTGATCACAAGATCTTTGTCATTTCTTAATAACAAAAATGATCTTTGTGACCCCTATAAGACCATTTCTTTATCTTTTTCTTCTTATCTATCAAAATACACGCTGATCGAATTATGTCATTACAAATATCTATGGCATAGACTAAAAGCATGACAAAACAGGCAGTTATGTATTAAATGTGTTTTGTAGAAAAGAAAATGTATTTCATTTTTCAAGGAGACCAGATAATATTACAACTATTTCTTAAACTTACAGGTGTCGTAGTTTTCTTGAAACTCTCAGGAATGTGGAGTGTTTTGGGGTCATATTCTGGGTCAGTCCTCTCACGCATTTTAGCATCTCTGAAAAACAAGGATTTCTCAATAGAATACTGGTTTTTATAACACAACCAGTTAAAGATTTGAATGAAACATCAAAATCATTCACACTTAAGATCTAAGTGTGTCGTTTCGATGACTACATGGTCACCTTCATCAGAGAAATGACCAGTGTGGAGTGTACTAGCACTGATGTACGTAGTGTGCGAGATCTACAAGGTCACCTTCATCAGAAAAATGACCAGTGTGAAGTGTAGTAACACTGACGTACGTAGTGTGCAAGATCTACACGGTCACCTTCATCAGACAAATGACCAGTGTGGAGCATACTAGCACTGATGTACAGAGTGTACGAGATTTACACGGTCACCTTCATCAAACAAATGACCAGTGTGGGGCGTACTAGCACTGACGTATCTAGTGTTCGAGATCTTCACGATCACCTTCATCACACAATGACCACAGAGTGGCAGGTTGACTACCTCACCTGATCTCATCAGACTGCCTGCCTTACCTGATCTCATCAGACTGCCTGCCTTACCTGATCTCATCAGACTGCCTGCCTTACCTGATCTCATCAGACTGCCTGCCTTACCTGATCTCGTCAGGCTGGTTGCCTTACCTGATCTTGTCAGGCTGGTTGCCTTACCTGATCTCGTCAGGCTGGTTGCCTTACCTGATCTCGTCAGGCTGGTTGCCTTACCTGATCTCGTCAGGCTGGTTGCCTTACCTGATCTCGTCAGGTTGGTTGCCTTACCTGATCTCGTCAGGTTGGTTGCCTTACCTGATCTCGTCAGGTTGGTTGCCTTACCTGATCTTGTCAGGTTGGTTGCCTTACCTGATCTGGTCAGGTTGGTTGCCTTACCTGATCTTGTCAGGTTGGTTGCCTTACCTGATCTTGTCAGGCTGGTTTGACTCCTGTTCTATCTCTACAACTAATGGACTTACCTGATCTTGTGAGGTTGGAGGAAGTCCAGTTTGAGATGTGGGAAATTTGCCTCCTGTTCTGTCAGGGTGGCCTTTGAAGTACTTGGACTCTATAATAGTATCAGTAGAATATCATTAACAATGATCACAACCAATTCTATAGGTATATCTTACTGAGAATATCCCATTTGTACTTCAAGAACATGACTGTCAACTTTAATCTATCCTGAAAGAAAGGTACTGACAGCTAACTTTCATGTAATTTATTCACAACAAAAATAAATTTTCGCATTATTCTGATAACTGGATTTACATCAGATAAAACCGGAGCAGAAGATATAATTATGTAATATTAGTACCTGAGAACTAAATGAGACAATGGAACCATGTAAACTGACACTGGAGACAATGGAACCATGTAAACTGACACTGGAGACAATGGAACCATGTAAACTGACACTGGAGACCATGGAGACAATGGAACCATGTAAACTGACACTGGAGACCATGGAGACAATGGAACCATGTAAACTGACACTGGAGACCATGGAGACAATGGAACCATGTAAACTGACACTGGAGACCATGGAGACAATGGAACCATGTAAACTGACACTGGAGACCATGGAACCATGTAAACTGACACTGGAGACCATGGAGGCAATGGAACCATGTAAACTGACACTGGAGACCATGGAGGCAATGGAACCATGTAAACTGACACTGGAGACAATGGAACCATGTAAACTGACACTGGAACTCACACTGGAGACAATGGAACCATGTAAACTGACACTGGAGACAATGGAACCATGTGGAACCACTGACACTGGAGACCATGGAGGCAATGGAACCATGTAAACTGACACTGGAGACCATGGAGACAATGGAACCATGTAAACTGACACTGGAGACAATGGAACCATGTAAACTGACACTGGAGACCATGGAGACAATGGAACCATGTAAACTGACACTGGAGACCATGGAGACAATGGAACCATGTAAACTGACACTGGAGACCATGGAGACAATGGAACCATGTAAACTGACACTGGAGACCATGGAGACAATGGAACCATGTAAACTGACACTGGAGACCATGGAACCATGTAAACTGACACTGGAGACAATGGAACCATGTAAACTGACACTGGAGACAATGGAACCATGTAAACTGACACTGGAGACAATGGAACCATGTAAACTGACACTGGAGACAATGGAGACCATGGAACCATGTAAACTGACACTGGAGACCATGGAGGCAATGGAACCATGTAAACTGACACTGGAGACCATGGAACCATGTAAACTGACACTGGAGACAATGGAACCATGTAAACTGACACTGGAGACAATGGAACCATGTAAACTGACACTGGAGACAATGGAACCATGTAAACTGACACTGGAGACCATGGAGACAATGGAACCATGTAAACTGACACTGGAGACCATGGAGACAATGGAACCATGTAAACTGACACTGGAGACCATGGAGACAATGGAACCATGTAAACTGACACTGGAGACCATGGAGACAATGGAACCATGTAAACTGACACTGGAGACCATGGAGGCAATGGAACCATGTAAACTGACACTGGAGACCATGGAACCATGTAAACTGACACTGGAGACCATGGAGACAATGGAACCATGTAAACTGACACTGGAGACCATGGAGACAATGGAACCATGTAAACTGACACTGGAGACCATGGAGACAATGGAACCATGTAAACTGACACTGGAGACCATGGAGACAATGGAACCATGTAAACTGACACTGGAGACCATGGAACCATGTAAACTGACACTGGAGACCATGGAGGCAATGGAACCATGTAAACTGACACTGGAGACCATGGAACCATGTAAACTGACACTGGAGACCATGGAGGCAATGGAACCATGTAAACTGACACTGGAGACCATGGAGACAATGGAACCATGTAAACTGACACTGGAGACCATGGAGACCATGTAAACTGACACTGGAGACCATGGAGACCATGTAAACTGACACTGGAGACCATGGAACCATGTAAACTGACACTGGAGACCATGGAGGCAATGGAACCATGTAAACTGACACTGGAGACCATGGAGACAATGGAACCATGTAAACTGACACTGGAGACCATGGAGACCATGTAAACTGACACTGGAGACCATGGAGACAATGGAACCATGTAAACTGACACTGGAGACAATGGAGACCATGGAACCATGTAAACTGACACTTGAGACCATGGAACCATGTAAACTGACACTGGAGACCATGGAACCATGTAAACTGACACTGGAGACCATGGAGACAATGGAACCATGTAAACTGACACTGGAGACCATGGAGACAATGGAACCATGTAAACTGACACTGGAGACCATGGAGACCATGTAAACTGACACTGGAGACCATGGAGACCATGTAAACTGACACTGGAGACAATGGAACCATGTAAACTGACACTGGAGACCATGGAACCATGTAAACTGACACTGGAGACAATGGAACCATGTAAACTGACACTGGAGACAATGGAACCATGTAAACTGACACTGGAGACCATGGAACCATGTAAACTGACACTGGAGACCATGGAGGCAATGGAACCATGTAAACTGACACTGGAGACCATGGAGACAATGGAGCCATTTAAACTGACACTGGAGACCATGGAGACAATGGAACCATGTAAACTGACACTGGAGACCATGGAGACAATGGAACCATGTAAACTGACACTGCAGACCATGGAGACCATGGAACCATGTAAACTGACACTGGAGACCATGGAGACAATGGAACCATGTAAACTGACACTGGAGACAATGGAACCATGTAAACTGACACTGAAGACAATGGAACCATGTAAACTGACACTGGAGACCATGGAGACAATGGAGCTACGTAAACTGACTCTGGAGACAATGGAACCATGTAAACTGACACTGGAGACCATGGAGACAATGGAACCATGTAAACTGACACTGGAGACCATGGAGACAATGGAACCATGTAAACTGACACTGGAGACCATGGAACCATGTAAACTGACACTGGAGACCATGGAGACAATGGAACCATGTAAACTGACACTGGAGACAATGGAACCATGTAAACTGACACTGAAGACAATGGACCATGGACACTGGAGACCATGGAGACAATGGAGCCATGTAAACTGACACTGGAGACCATGGAGACAATGGAACCATGTAAGCTGACACTGGAGACCATGGAGACAATGGAACCATGTAAACTGACACTGGAGACCATGGAACCATGTAAACTGACACTGGAGACCATGGAGACAATGGAACCATGTAAACTGACACTGGAGACCATGGAGACAATGGAACCATGTAAACTGACACTGGAGACCATGGAACCATGTAAACTGACACTGGAGACCATGGAGACAATGGAACCATGTAAACTGACACTGGAGACAATGGAACCATGTAAACTGACACTGAAGACAATGGAACCATGTAAACTGACACTGGAGACCATGGAGACAATGGAGCCATGTAAACTGACACTGGAGACCATGGAGACAATGGAACCATGTAAACTGACACTGGAGACCATGGAGACAATGCAGCCATGTAAACTGACACTGGAGACCATGGAGACAATGGAACCATGTAAACTGACACTGGAGACCATGGAACCATGTAAACTGACACTGGAGACCATGGAGACAATGGAACCATGTAAACTGACACTGGAGACCATGGAGACAATGGAACCATGTAAACTGACACTGGAGACCATGGAACCATGTAAACTGACACTGGAGACCATGGAGACAATGGAACCATGTCAACTGACACTGGAGACAATGGAACCATGTAAACTGACACTGAAGACAATGGAACCATGTAAACTGACACTGGAGACCATGGAGACAATGGAGCCATGTAAACTGACACTGGAGACCATGGAGACAATGGAACCATGTAAACTGACACTGGAGACCATGGAGACAATGCAGCCATGTAAACTGACACTGGAGACCATGGAGACAATGGAACCATGTAAACTGACACTGGAGACCATGGAGACAATGGAACCATGTAAACTGACACTGGAGACAATGGAACCATGTAAACTGACACTGGAGACCATGGAGACAATGCAGCCATGTAAACTGACACTGGAGACCATGGAGACAATGGAACCATGTAAACTGACACTGGAGACCATGGAGACAATGGAGCCATTTAAACTGACACTCGAACAGTTATATACATACATCAGCTGCATTAAAGACAGCAAGCCTTGACTTGGTTTTATCGCCAACAGTTGGGGTAAATGTGGATGATGATTTAACACTGCTGGAGAAGCTGGTGAGGGTTGGGGTGGTTGTGTCTGGGCTATTGGTCTGCTTGGCAACACCTTTGGATTTTGGCTGTGGCCGCTTTCTCTTTAGAGGCTACGAATACCAAACATTTTGTTATTATATCAGTTTTTGTAAGCAGTAAATACTAACACATCTTTAATTACATACAGTGGAATCTGTCTAAACTGGACATCTTGGGACCGAATGATTTGGCTGGTTTGTTGAGAGTTCCTGATTTTAGAGTGTCCACTGTTATAATATTGTAGGAATTGGGGCTGAATTATTAGACCCGATCGTGCAGATATCTATAGTCCAGTTTAGACGAAGACCACTGTATATATATTGTCTTTTGAAAACTTTACTTGAATTATTTCTAACATTTTAAATATTTCTGACCTTGAATTTGACCCCTGACCTTGACTACAATAATTCTATGTTCAGTTATTTCTGATGTAATCTTGTAGGCCTACGTGGACAACAGATACATAGTACTCCGGCAACAAAAGTTAAACAAGCAAATATTTACAGCTTTGACGGGAGACTCTGGTTCTGAGCCTGTCTCTATGTCGGAGATTTCATCCTCATCCACACCACTGCTGCCTTCATCCTCACTGCTACTGCTTGGCTCATCAGAGTCCTCCTTGAGTTTGAATTCATCATCTTTGCAATACAAAATACACCAGTTATGACAAAACAGTATACTGAGGGACTACCATCAGTATTTAGTAGGGGTGTAGGAATTCTTTTGAAAGCACTTACTTAGTGACAATATATTCATCAGAATTCTACTTTCATGCTGAATGTTTAATAGAGACCACCTGATCACAGCATGCAACCTTACCAGAATCTTCTTCACTGTCTCGACTTTCAACAATCCGCCTTCGTTTAGGTTTGGGTGTCCGTGTGGACCGTCGTTTTGAATCTTTCTTTGGCGTCTTTCTGGGAGACTTTGAAGAGTTCTGCTTGAAAATGAGAGAGCTTCACTCATTACAGTTTCTTTGTTATTTAACTTACAGCTTCTGTCTGACTTGGAAGGAAAAGGTATTGATTAAGAAACCCACATATATCCCCCCATTAATTATCTATATATAGAAAACAATCTGTTAGTACTGAAGGTAAGTACACCTGGTTTGTTTACCTTTTTGTCCTCCTCAGTTGTGCTGACGTTTTCCTTGCTGTTATCATTCTCCTCGTCCATTTCATTGTCAAATATGTCAGCTGTCAAAATTATAAAGATCAGAGAGATATATCAATCACAACAGCCTGGGAGTGTAGGATTTTTTGTTTTATTCGCTGCATGTCGACCAGTTTTGCCCTCTCAGGCTCCCCCAGGTCCTTATGATATATCTATCTGACTTGTTCTACTGTTTAATCGCCCAGCATGCCCTTAGGATATCCAGCCGAGGAGTGAAGGAAACAACAACCCACCCTACTTGGACGAACAGCCTTGGCCCTATACCTGAACTCTCTGTCAAAATTACTTTACATATACATAATGAGAGCTCTCGATTGCTTACATGTCATATATTACATATAAATACCAATGTCTATAAAACATAGTTTCAGTACCGGAGAGATAACAGTATCAATACTGATGTCTATAAAACATAGTTTCAGTACCGGAGAGGTAACGGTATCAATACTGATGTCTATAAAACATAGTTTCAGTACCGGAGAGGTAACGGTATCAATACTGATGTCTATAAACATAGTTTCAGTACCGGAGAGGTAACGGTATCAATACTGATGTCTATGAAACAGTTTCAGTAACGGTATCAAGTCTAAACAATGCCAAATTTTATTCAAATAAATTGATGAAGATAAGCATTTTTAAGTATACTTATAGTGTATAAATATACTTATAGCTTATTTCTCATCTGGACCTCATTCCCTTGCCTCCAGGGGTTGAATCAAATTTATTGATTCAAGAAACGACTGCCCATCCCCTGAGATATTTCAGAACAATGGTTGACAACCATTCAGCTGGTTCAGAAGAGTAACATTTTAAAATAAACATTAAGCTAATTTTCCCTTCTGGGTTTAGAAAGACTTATAATGCATTTGTTCCATTGTTTTCATTTTCGTAAACCTTTTTTCCTTTTCTACAACCAGATTATACAAGAATAATATATTACACTTTGGGTGTAGTAATATTTAAATATGAAAAGGTAATTTTACAATTCTGAAGTCTTACGATCTAAATCCATACTCTCTTCTTCCTCTTCATCATCTGAAGGCTGCAAATCCACAACCAGTTTTAGTCGCTCATCACTGGTCAATTTGATTGCTTTGTCTGCTTCACATGCCCCTTGTTTTACCTTTGGGTTGTGGGAGAAGAACTGGCCACCTCTCTGATATTCTTTGTCATCTGAACCTTTGAAAGGTTTGACATACCTAGATAAAAATCACAAAAGGATGCAAAGATATAAAAAGAAAATGTAATAACAAAATTAATTACATCACATATGTCACCTGATGTTTAAATTTTCAAAGAACACAAGGTGAATGTTTCCAAAAGTAAGGAAACACTAGCTATTATATACAAACTGAATTTGACTGAGAAGTCTTACTTAGCCTTGATCCAGGCACGGGAAACTGGGTCGTCAAAGAACTGGACATGGACCTGGGGATTCTTGCCTTGTTTGTAATGGATGTGATCAGTTGGATGTGTACACACCAGAGACGGCCACCAAGGATAGCCCTCGAGCTTGGCCCATATCAAATCACCAACAGCAAAGTCTAGGAGATAAATTCTGTCTAGTTATAATTCAGATTAGCAACCAGCTGCATTGGCATGAACCTTGCAATAGTTGCTTTTGAAATTTATCTTCAACTCACATGAAACATTTTTATGACTCATACTGTAGTTCAATATAGATGTATAGCCTATACCACGTAAATCTTTCGCTGACGAAGTAAAACAGCACTATAAGCCTGTTATAAATAATAAAACACTCTCTAAAGATTCAATAAATCACCATTGCTTCAAAGTAGATCAAGATCATTTATTTTAACAAACTTGTTAGCCCTTCATCCCATGACCTCACCATTAATATTTCCATAAAAATACAGTAAAACTTGCTTGTGTTGAACATGCTTAAATCAAATACATCAGATAATTAGATAAGTCCCGATTGGTTCTCTTCTTAAACATAGTATATTAAACATAAATGACTTGAAAAAAAAATGTTGACTTGAATGCTATGTTTGCATGCTAACAATATCTTCCAGCCATTGTATCTAACGAAGTGGCAGATATTTTAGTCCAAACCTTGCTTTCACACACATATGGGCATCTATGGGTATATAATGCCTGCGACCTGTCAAACCCGCTATCATTATTTCAATGTCAGCACGCAACCCATAGGTACATTGCATGAGAACATTTACTCGCTTCTATTTGTTTTCTTCCAAGTGATTGAATAACCTGGAAATGAAAAAAAAAACCCACAACATATCAACAAATATGTAACTACAGCAAACCCTTGTTTTTCCAGAGTAAAAGACCTATATAATAAGCTTTAATATTTCCAGTTAACTCCCGTAGTAAAAGAGTTCAGTGGTCAAATTTTAGACAATCTACAATGGGTCACCACTTTGCACAGGTTTCACTAGTCAAGCATTTACACAACCTAGATTGAGAAAACATACAAATAGTAGTCGTGTTATACAGCATTTTCAGGGGCTTCAGTGACATAGTAAAATCTGGTTGTGTCCACAGTTTGGTGCACATGGACATGTTTCGGGATATATGCGATGGACTGCAGGGAATTTTTTTCTGTTTTCATTTTTGTTATATCTTTTTTTATATATTTTTGAATAGCTGAGATGGAACTTGTCATCTTCACGCAACTTCAAAGTCCTCATGTGAGTGGACTCTTTTTGGGGTCATGTGTATGTGTTATCATTAATGTATAGGTGAAGTTCTCTTCAGGCGGTCAATATTGAAATGAAAACCGGTTTGACGGATTGCAAGTATTTTATACCCTGGGATGTTCATACCCGTTTCCAAGCAAGGCTTGGACTAAAATGTCGACCACTTCCTTAGATACGCTAGCCGTAAAATATTGTTATCATGGGGGGCTCTCCAAAGCATTTGGGAAATGGAAATTTTATCGATGAATCATTTTAACTTGCATTGTCAGCTTTAAACTATGGCTAATAATTAATTGTCCCGACGTACCAAGTAGGAAGTTACATGGTCCGCATACATACATTAGTTGAAAATTCAAATCTGTTTTCATTCTGCTCGATATAGATAGATCCTTACTTGAAATTTATCATATGAATTGATAGTTTTTGACCAGATTATGGGATCACTACATATATAAACAAAAGTGATGATATCAACAGAAATGTACTCTTTACCATCAACTGTTTGTTTACTTCTCGGAGTCGCCGACCCTGCACTCGAGTCCTTCTGGTTAGGCGATCGCTTGGGAGACAGTATATCTTTGTCATCAGTTTTGGGAGTTGAAGAATGCTTTACAGACGGGCTCTTGTTAAAATAAGAAAACAGCGTGTTCGCTTTCTTGGCTGGAGTCTGTTTCGGACCCATCGTGGTGTTGACAATTTAACTCCCGCGCTTTCGCCATGCGCTTCCGGTTTCCGACTTCCGTCTCTCGATTGAGAGGCCACAAAAGGGGAAATACTTCAGCGTATACGTCTCTGGTTCAAGGTTTGGGAACGTGGAACACTCTCTTACGCTCAAGAGTTTAGTTGTGATTTGTTGTAATCAAAACAAATATCAGAAGTTATTTCATTACTTACAAAATATTCCTTACGTTTTGTTTCACTGAAAACATCAAGAAGTTGTCTTTCTTCTTCTTCACAGCCTGCACATCAAACATACGAAAATAGCCTGCTACTTTCTTCACGCACTTTTCACCACCCTCGATACCTCAGTGGTAACGATCAATTTCGCTCTCTGCACACTTGGAACCATCATCGATACTCCGGCGGTTACGATCGGTTTCTCTCTCTGTACTCCTGGACCACCATCGATACTCCAGGGGTTACGATCATTTTCGCTCTCTGTACCCCTGGAACCACCCGTGATACTCCAGGGATAACGATCGCTTTCTCTCTCTGTACCCCTGGAACCGCCCACGATACTCCGGGGGTTCCGATCACTTTCTCCCTCTGTACCCCTGGAACCACCCTCGATACCTCAGTGGTTACGATCACTTTCGCTCTCTGCACCCATGGAACCATCCACGATACTCCAGCAGTTAGGATCACATCCGCTCTCTGTACCCTTGGAACTATCCTCGATACTCCAGAGTTTATGATCACTTTCTCTCTCTATACTCCTGGAACCGTCCTCGATACTCCGGGGGTTACGACCATTTCCGCTCTCTGTACCCCTGAAACAACCCTCGATACTCCAGCAGTTACGATCACTTTTTCTCTCTCTGTACCCCTGGAACTACCCTCGATACTCCAGTGGTTACGACCACTTTACCCTGGAGCTACCCTCGATACTCCAGGGTTTTAGAGCACTTTCTCTCTCTGTACCCTGGAACCACCCTCGATACTCCAGGAGTTACGATCCCTTTCTCTCTGTGTCCATGGTTACAGGGAGAAATTGTCGTCATAATCCCTTATGTATCAAGTCATGCCTTAATACGAGTCGATCATTACGGCATGCGATAAGGTTTAGTATATCGTTTTACGCATGTAAGTGTATATATAAGACGTGTGCGTGATAAAAATAACCCGACATTATTGGAAAGATATATCACGGAGCAGGTTTAGTACTCAATGGCATTCGCGTCCGAGTTATATCATCAAATGTAGTGCTATTACTTAATAACCTGCTTTCAATCTTACAACATCACGTTAACTTCAAACCAGCAACACATCTAAAACTAATAATTACAAAAGCTGAGATGATACAGAAACAGAAAAAATCCAGATTGTTGGCATGAAGCTTTAAAGCATTTGTTGTTAAAAAATCGTTACGTTTCTGTAGTAAAATCTGCATTGCGTTACATTATTGAATATTTGCCAACCAAAATAAGTTATATATTAAACCTATACCAAATGAACGGTCGGAAACTCCTGTATAACTTTGTTTAGTCCCAAGATAAGCTGATGCTCCAAATTCTGAGAATGACAAGTTTTCGCCATTTTTATTTATTTATCTATTTATTTATTTACGTAGCGCTATCGATCAATATGAAAAATGTTTCCGTCCTGATATCAATTATGCACCAAATATAGCATGACGTCAAATTTAGACAATGACGGAAATTCACGAATAACTTCCGAATGTCACTCGTTCCTGTCGTATTTGGCAACGACTCTTTCCGCCTGTGTTGTTTAAAATACACACATAAACAAATGAAAAATAAAAACAAACTAAAATAGTTTTGCATTTATTGTTTTGAACGAAAATACAAGTAATGAAAGTGTATTTTATCCTTTATCAAATGCGCAACACAGTCCTGGTATACGTCATTGTTGTTCATGGAAAACGTTTGAAATTTGTGGCGTTGCATGCAATTTATTAATTTTTTTCATTTAACGGGTCATAGTATTTTAGATAAAGGTTGACGCACGAAAACTAGGGCGATTAGAATGAAAGGAGGCAGCGAAAGCTAGGGTGAATAGAATGAAATGAAGCAGAGAAAGCTAGAGTGAATAGAATGAAATGAAGCAGAGAAAGTTAGGGTGAATAGAATGGAATGAGGCAGAGAAAGCTAGGGCGAATAGAATGAAATGAAGCAGAGGAAGCTAGGATGAAAAGACTGAAATGAAGCAGAAAAAGCTAGGGTGTATAGAATGAAATGAAGCAGGGAAAGATAGGGTGAATAGAATGAAATGAAGCAGGGAAAGCTATGGTGTATAGAATGAAATGAAGCAGAGAAAGCTAGGGTGAATAGAATGAAATGAAGCAGAAAAAGCTAGGGTGAATAGAATGAAATGAAGCAGAAAAAGCTAGGATGAATAGAATGAAATGAAGCAGAAAAAGCTAGGGTGTATAGAATGAAATGAAGCAGGGAAAGCTAGGGTGAATAAAATGAAATGAAGCAGAAAAAGCTAGGGTGTATAGAATGAAATGAAGCAGAAAAAGCTAGGATGAATAGAATGAAATTAAGCAGAAAAAGCTAGGGTGTATAGAATGAAATGAAGCAGGGAAAGCTAGGGTGAATAGAATGAAATGAAGCAGAGGAAGCTAGAGTGAATAGAATGAAATGAAGCAGAAAAAGCTAGGGTGAATAGAATGAAATGAAGCAGAAAAACCTAGGGTGAATAGAATGAAATGAAGCAGAAAAAGCTAGGGTGAATAGAATGAAATGAAGCAGGGAAAGCTAGAACCCGGATGAGGTAGAGATGGAGTCGTATGTCGTCATAACCCAATTCCGCCATTAATTACAAGAAGACGCGTTTCATGACCGACCGACGCGAAAATTTGATCGATCGAGATGTTTGCAATGCTTTGAAACTTAATGGCTGAAACGATAAGCTGGTAGCAATCGTAAATCATTAGCAGTTGACTGTTTAAAACAATTACAGCGATAGATCACATGTTACCGGTTAAAGGATTCGAGACCAATATACCATGTACGTCTCACACCGACAGAAGCTATTATCGATGTTATCACAGTCAGATGACAGTTTTACGAGCGTTTACCTGTGTCACACCTGTGTCACACCTGTATCGATACCTATCAGATAACAGATGATAAGCGATACAGATCGACAGGTCAACAATCAAATTATTCATTGTGATAATTCCAGCCTCGCCACGTGGCAGTCAGGGTCCAGATATCGTTTGACCTTATTTGTGTAATATCTGCCCCATATAACGAATATAATGTCTTGATCAGGATTATTCTAGCGTGCTAGCGATTTATATTTGTATCGGTCTGGAGCCGACGAGCGTCAGAATAATTCTGATTAGTGATGTCTCTACTTAGTATCACCAAGTATTTGAGAGCTTTATTGAGATATAGGGTACATCCTCATCATATGATTCGCCCATTCTGATTTCCCAGAGTTACCGCCCTTTGTTCCACTCTGACCAGCCGATAAGGGCTGAGAATGGATTTCCCTAACTCAAAGTAAAAATCTCAACAGAATATGTCCTTTCACTTACTCGCGTGTCCTAGAAGTATGCATGAAGCATTGTGTGGCTCTACTGTATCTAGTTCTAAATTTGTATTAAACAGCGCTATGTTTTCTTCATCCCTTCTTATTTAGTAAATATATCGTATTATGATTTTTGTATTACACGTGTAATGTGATGAAATGACGTACCACACTCACAGTTTGTGTTGTGGCGATGGAGACCAAGTTATAAAGCAAAATGTCTTAAATTTGGTTTAAATTTCCGTCTTCTTTAATATTTTCGTAAATAATTGATCATACGGTCAAAAATGAGCAGAAAATCGTTTTCATTTGATATGAAATCTATAGAACTGATCACAATTTTGTCATTTTACGTTTTTAAATTGAAAAAATCTTCAACAAGTTTTATAAAATTACATATCAAATGAAAATACGTGGAAGATCCTTTTATGAAGGCCATTATACAATCCTTGCACCAAGGAAGAGGCAAGCTTCACAGCGAATTTTAGTACAAATTTAGATGTTCAGAAATCTGAAAAAAGGTTGATTTTATGGACAACAAAACTGATTTGTAAGTATTTGCTCATTCTTTACAGATGACGTTTGAGAAAATTCTTATCCCGAGCGAGTGTCTTGACGGACATAAATCACCAGCTATCACTTCCGGTGACATAGGATGTCCCCATATATGGGAATATAGATTAAAAAAGGGTCTGCTTTCTATTTATCATCATTATTTGTTCTATGTAAAATATCATATGAAAGAATACCTCTTTTTATGTAAACTCCACGATATGATTTATCATTGTCTAGCCTAACCATCGTAACTGTGGTCTAGTACAGAAAATCAAAGACAGACATTCCGTTATTCTCTTCCCATAGGAAATTAACTCGGATACGGTTGTCCGTATAGAAAGTCCGGGACATCATAGATATAAAAATGACTAGGTAAGCAGATTAACCAGCAAAAAGCTACTTTCAACACAGAGGTATGTTGATAGGAACCGTAGCAACAGTAGCCGACTGACCAGTGTTACGTATGATACTGGACAGGGTTACGTATGAGACAGGACAGTGTTACGTATGATACTGGACAGTGTTACGTATGATACTGGACAGTGTTACGTATGATACTGGACAGTGTAGGACAGTGTTACGTATGATACTGGACAGTGTTCCGTATGATATTGGACAGTGTTACGTATGATACTGGACAATGTTACGTATGATACTGGACAGTGTAGGACAGTGTTACGTATGATACTGGACAGTGTTACGTATGATACTGGACAGTGTTACGTATGATACTGGACAGTGTTACGTATGATACTGGACAGTGTTACGTATGATACTGGACAGTGTTACGTATGATACTGGACAGTGTTACGTATGATACTGGACAGTGTTACGTATGATACTGGACAGTGTTACGTATGATACTGGACAGTGTAGGACAGTGTTACGTATGATACTGGACAGTGT